TACAGGGCGGGCGCGAATAACCGCGGGGGCGGGTCAAATTGCCATCCCTATACATTGTGCAAAAATACCCATCAATAAAAAATCTAACATAAATTAATGTTGTAATATTCGTTTTGCCCTTTTACTCTTTCGAAAATATCCAATTGGGTATATATGTTACTAATCTCATAGTATAGGGGTGTTATGTGCACATTACTTTATATATATTATTTTTTTGAAACTTTTTTTCTCTATATATATCTCTAATTTTTATTTTTATTTTTAATTTAATTTAATTTTTTTAACTTTGAGAATTTGTATGACAATGATTTAAATTTTTTGAGGTTTCAGTTTACTATTTAATTTCTACTAATTTTTTTCTTCTTTATTTTATTTTTTTTCGTTATAACACTGTTAAACCAAAAAAAAAAAAAACCAATATCAGTGTGCACTGGATTTCGGAGTTTGGAGCATATTTGTTTTCTTTAGTTAATTTGCACTTTATTTTCTACTTTTATCTTTACTTTTCTTCTATACTTTTATTTTTATTTTTATTTTCTATTTTTATCTTTACTTGTCCATTGTTCGCATCCTCCAATAGTGTCCTTTTTGGTCATTTGAGAAAATTACTTATTATATATATATATTTAAAATGGTTCAATAAATATAATTTAGTCAACTTAAAGTTTAAAAGTGTTAGAAGGACTTCTTTGCACCAAATTGCACTTTATGGATTTTTTTAACACGTGAGTGAGCGTCATCCAATAGTGTAATTTTCGGTCATTTTATAAAATTATTTATTTTTATATATTTTATAAAAGAGTTAAGTGCAGAAAACACTCCAGTAATATAGGTTTTGTGCACAATGAGTCCCTCATTTTTGAAATAGTACATTTCAGTCCATAATATTAAAAAAAAGGTGCAAATAAGTCCATCTGATCATTTTTTTTTTTTACAAAAAGTAAATCTGAAAACTAGATTTTACCCTTTTTGTTCCTATTTTGCCCCTCATAGGTGCATAACTCCTATGATGTTCCGAATTTTTACAAACCTGGATAGTCAATATGACCCAAAAGTTAACCCGATAACAGATCCGAAATGCGAAAGTGGAAACAAAAACAAAGTCAATGAAAAGAAAACAAATGCGGAAGCAAAACGGTAAAAATAGACCAAGTATGCCCCCAAGGGCAAAATGGTCATTTCACATTCAAACAAGGTCTCAAGAGGTATACGTCATCTTTAAGAAACAAACATGGCTTCCCATGAAGCCACGGAATTTAAAAGAAAACAAAATGCGGAAGCGAAGTTTTTAAAACGGACAAATTTAGCCCTAGGGGCAAAATTATAATTTTTAAAAAGTTATGGGTGCTACCGAGCACACCATTAGATAGACGGCGAAAAATTAACGAAATTCAAAAAAAAGTTCACCTAAAACAGAATCCGGACGAAGGAGAAAGACCCGATGAAAAATCAACGTCGGGTCTTTTCTCCCTCGTCCAGACTCCGTTTTGGGTGAACTTTTTTTTATTTTATTATTGTTTAAACTTTGTTAATTTTTTGCCGTCTATCCAATGGTGTGCTCGGTAGCACCCATAACTTTTTAAAAATTATGATTTTGCCCCTAAAGCTAAACTTGTCTGTTTTTAAAACTTCGCTTCCGCATTTTTGTTTTCTTTTAAGTTTCGTGGTTTCATGAGAAGTCATATTTGTGTCTTAGGGATGACGTACATCTCTTGAGACTCTGTTTGCACGTAAAATGACCATTTTACCCTTGGAGCATATTTGGTCTATTTTCACCTTACTTTCGTATTTATTCTTATTTCTGTTTCCGTATTCCGGATCTGTTATCGGGTCAACTTTCAAGTCGCATTGACTTATCCGAGTTGTGAAAAGTCCTCCCCCCCCCTAGCGCAAAAAAAAAAAAAACCCATTTCCTTATGCCTGTTAATTTTCCAAAGGTAAATTATATGTAATTTAATTATTTCTTTTGTCAAAGGGAAGTAGATTAATCTTAAATTGAATTAAAAACATCTTCTCATTTTCTTTGCTTATCATTTTTTTAACACATATTGGATACTTCTCAAGTATTTCATAATACATTTTTAATAAGTTTTAAACATTAAAATATAACTTATATATATATATATATATATATATATATAGATAGATAGATAATTGATGAGAAAATTTCAAATTTTATTAAGTGATGACTATAGATGCTCGTTATATTAATGATTGCATTTAGATTCATATATATTATAAAAAATTGAATAAAATTTATTTTATATATATATAAAAATATATATAGTTATTTAGCTTTGCAAAATATATAATTTGTTGTCCCAAACAGACAAACAAATAAACTGCAAGTATTTATAAAACACAAGGTATATTTAATTTTTGTCCCAAAGAAACAAACTGCTACACAAATTGGACAAAATGGTCATTTTGCATGGCCGGTATTTATACTTATTAATTTATTTTACTTAAATGAGGATATTATTGTCATTTTAAGTCTCTAGGGGGCTATTTGCACCAAATTAATAGTATAGGGGTGTTTTAAATTACACATGAACTATTTTGCACTATATCGATAGTAGAGGAGGTTTTTTTGTACTCAATCCTTTATAAAATGGTAAGGGTAATTTAGTCAACCTAGCTAGGGTATAATTTTATCAAAAGGACCTATTTGCACGAAATTGAAACTTTAGAGGTGTTTGATATGCACCGTAAACATAGGGTCTTTTCTATACTTGACCATGATAGATGACGACATTGAGTAATGCTATAATGTCTGAATCAATTTTATTTTTTATTTTTTTGGGATTCCAATACAACAAGTATGTGCAAAAAATAAAATAAAAAATACAACAAGTACAGTAAGATAAAGTATTTATTTTTAAGGTGTTTTTTAATTCAATTATTGACACATTAATGGGTTTTAAAAATGGATGAAAACTTTTATAATTTTCCTTCTGCATTCTGTGAACTGAAATACCTGAAACCTTCAACTTCCAATTTTGGTTAATTCTCTCCGTGTACAAAAAATCGTTAGTTTTAACTTTTAAGTGTCCGCGCATTGTTGTAAAAAAAAAAAAAAAAAAAAACCGCAGTACAACTGCCACAAAATTGAAGTCACTAAAAACTATATTAGGTGTTTGGCTACCCCCGTTTTTTTATTTTTTATTCATATGATTCAGTATTTGGTGACACATTATATATTTGTACTTTTTCATGATTAAGTACTTTTTAAAATTTCTATAGTAATAATATTTTTTAAAACACTTATAGTGTTAATTTTACAACAATATCCTTCTATCTTTATAAAAAAATTAGTGAAATTATATTTAAAAAAATAAAAAGGACTAAATTGTCGAAGAAAAAACAGTTACCTAAAATATACCACCTTAAAAGCTCTATTGAGCTAAAATTGGTAACAATTAAAAGTGCTTTTAATATTTACCAAACACATAAATCCAATTATTATTATTATTATTTTTGAAAAATAAAATAATTTTATGCAGTTGAAAAGAATCAACCAATTTTTGCAAAAATAACATTAAGATATGTTTGGCAACCACTTCTGCTTTGTGTTTTTTTGCTTTGAACACGAAAGTGTGTTTGATAAAAAATGTTGCGATATGAGTCATGAAAAGAAAAAAAAAAAAAAAAAAAAATTGCTCCGATATGAATAGTATCAAAACATTTTGAAAAAGTGGCCAAAACTGAAAATATCAAATTGGAGTTTCGGGTTGCTTATGCACTGTAACAATGAACATTAAAAAAAAAAAAAAAAACTCTCAAATTACCTTTTAACTAGACATTTTATTTTTCAACTTGTAACACTTTTTTACAAGACATTTTTAAAATTTTTTTTTTTTTCATGTTTTTGTTTCCAAAAATCTTGCAACAAAATATAATGTTACCAAACATGCTTTCAAATAATATTGAATACACTCTTAAGTAGAATTGCTGCTTCTATTTCGAATACTAAAAAAGCATAAAGCAAAAACGCGGTTGCCAGACAGACCATTAGTGTGCTCCATGTTCCTGCTAGCTAGACTGTGAAAACAAAGTCGTTTTAAACTATATATTTGTTGCTTTAAACTATATGCATATATAGTTTTTCTTATAGAAAAAAAAAAAAAAAAATCTCTTTAAGTACAATTAGCTAGTACATAAATGCATTTAGAGTTTATTTATTTATTTATTCTTAATAATTAAAACAAGGTTACTTTAAACTATATTCATATATAGTTATTATTATTATTATTTTTAAATTCTGAAGGGATCGTTCTTAGGAATGAAAGGTTCTTAGAAACCTTCACATAATCACATTTATAATCTAAAACATATTTAATAAGTTACTTTGAAAAACTTCAAATGGTTGAGAGGGGCAATTTCGTTCCAGAAAAAGGTTTTTTTGACTGACGGGCAGTATTGCAATAACCAAAATTTTTGGGAGGTTTTATGGCAACTTTTTTGTGCAAGGGTTTTTTTTTAAAACAAAAATTGAAACTAAAGGGGTTTTTATACAATTTGCTCAATTTATTATTATACTTTATGTTTACAAATTAACAAATTGTGATCATTAGTTCCTACTTACTACACACACATATATATTTCAAAATTTTGTTACACTGGAAAGAAACAACAATATCAATTTATTTCTTTGACAAAAAGAAAAGAAAAATCAAAATTAGATTTGATTACTTGCCTGCGTTTATCTAAAATGTTTTTCACCGCGTAGAATACAGATAAATAAAACTATTTGATTTTCTGATAAAGCTTGTTTAAATAAGTCTACTAAAATCATATTTTGCTCCAAGGAATACAAGTCAACTTGATTGAATTTGCTCAGTTAGAGTTGGAGGTTGATATCAATATGACAATACCAATTTTGTTATACTGCCTCCTGCTGGACTCAAGCCCAAGACATCAGCATATATCAAACCGGTTTGTGGGTCAGGCCCAACGCGCAAGTGGCGATCAGGTGGTGTTTCAGTGTTTCACGTGAGATTCGAAACGAAGTCGTGAGATTTGCCCAGAGTTCCAAGCTCTCCCCAAGTCGGAGCTTGTTGGTTGTTATTGATTGCGCACTCCAAGCTCCAATGGCCTGCAATCATTTCTCTCTCTCTAGAATCAAAACTTCCTTTCTCTCTCTCTACAACTCTCCTCTCTCCTCCATCGTTCCAAAGAGAATCAGATTTTCATTACGTTCTCTAACACACAGTCCAATCAGATACAGTTCTCTCACTGTAACTGCGACTACTTTTACTTGGGACGACGTCTTTCAAATTTCTCAAACACAAAATGGCTCATCAGATCTCCATGGCTTCTTCGAAAAAATCAGACTCTGCAACCGCGGCTCCGTAACTCTCTCTCTCTCTACACACATATATATATATATATATATATATATATATATATATATAATATAGAGCACATATGTATCTACAATCTTTAAATTTTGTTTAATTAATTTCAGGAGAAGCAATCGGAGTTCATTCCGTTTGTTATTGAAGATCAAATCGTTGGTTATGTTCACAAAGGGTACGCCATCGTGAACAATGGTTATATATGGTTGATATATTGTGGTTCATATTCTAAAATTCGTCGTCTTGAAAAATCACTGTATGCTTGTCGAATTACGTGATTGCTACATTGACGATATTATCTGAATTCATATGCTAAACAAAGCTTTCGGGTCCTACAGAACTTTTTCTCTATATTTGTGACTTTGTGTCAATTAGAATGTATTCATTTGCACATTGCATAGACAACTGATTTTTGAAACTTTTGTTCAATATGCATTTGCCAATACATCATCAACACTCGGAGTCTCAGATTTGGACTCATTATGATATTATCATGATTTTTTATTTATTTTTTTCAATAATATCATCTGAAACTGCCCATTTGAGTTATAAGAGTTCTCAATTAATCGAAATTAGATGGTTTGGATACATGCATTGGAGACCTAGTGACAAGTCAGTCAAATGAGGAAGACTAGTTGTAATAGAAGGTAAGAGAAGGAGAGGCAACAAAAAATAACATGGGATGCGATTATTAAAAATGATCTCAAAAAGTAAAATAAATGAGTGGAGGCAGAGAATTCATGTGGCTGGCCCACTCATGTGGGATTATGGCAAGGATGATGATCGAATTTATCGAACTCCTATAGTAAAAGAGGCATCTGAATAACCTTGGACCATAAAGGCAGTTGTAATTAGGGCGAGTTCAGCTTTAGGTGGTGCAAGCTTTAATGTCAGTCTAGAGCTGGCAAATTCTGATGAGAACGCATATGTACGCTCTGGTGAAACTTCTTTGAGTTGGTCATTTTGCTAACTTGAATTCAACTGAAATTTTATATAACCTCTGTCATTAATTTACACTGATAGTGATAAGGTATTTCCGACTTTGTGCAGTTTTGCTGAACATTTAAGGAGGTTTCAGGATGTGTTTAGTTTTCCCCAAAATAATTCATATGGCAGTCATTTTGGTGTCCATGTCACACTGCATCCAACGTTGAGGACACCAGAGGATAGGACTAGAGCTGTTGGAGATGTAGTCAAATGCCTAGGGGAAGAATTGATTCCAGGTATACGGAATGAGGTACATCTTGTGATCACTCATGGTTCTGATTTTTTTATTTGTAGTTTTACATTTTGTTGAAGTCTTTGTGTGCTGCTTTTTCTGTGACATGTTTTTTATAACTTGAATCTTACTTTTTGCAAACTAAAAGTCTCTATTTACTTGAGTAACTCTTTAATTCTGTCAACCGCAAACAGCTCTACCCTGTCGTATCTTCCTTTGGGACACCAGTATTTTTCTCATTGGAACGTGCAGCAGCTCCTTACTTTGGTATAAAGGTGAGCTGCCATATGTTCATATAAACATATACAGAGTTCATATTCTATTACTCTTATAATACAGACAGAGGTCTTATTCTACCAGTAGTGACTGTCATCTAAAGCTCGATCTATATAGTTGATAATTTTGTGATTCTTGGGAGCATTGCTTCTTTGAATGTTATTCCTTGTAAGCAGAGTTCAAAAATGTCCTCAGTTGCTATTAAAGAAAAGGCAATGGTGTAATAGCTCATAAACCACTTAAAGTTGCATTTCTCATGTATTTTTCTTACTCAGTCTGTCCTGTATGACCCATTTTCTTTTCATATTCCTTGACTAATAACATTTACCGATCTTATCAGAAAAAAGGTTGTGCCAAACTAAACCTGTGAGCATATCAGGAATATATATTTGAATTCTTAGGGCATTTATTGTGAGTTTGGTCAATGCTAATTGCATTATTTTTAACATAATCATCATCATCATCATTACCATTTGCACATCTCGTTCTCTCTCTCAGCCGTACATTCATTTGTAACCAAATGCAATGTTAGGAAGAAGAGGTAAATCTGCAAATGAAGATGATGATCTCTCTTTTCTTTTCCTCATCTCCCACCCTTTCATGCACAGGTCCAATTTAGCCATGCTAAGGCTTTTGGGGTTACACTTGCAAAAGACATAGTGCATTTGTCCAAGACCTAAAAAAATGCATCCAGTGATTGTTACTGGTCAAACACTAAAACGAATGTTTGTATTACTATGAAATTTCATGTCTCTATTTTTCGTTACCACTAGAAACACTAATCCTGGAACTTTAGTCGAATTCTGTATAATATTTCTTTCTATAATAAATTTATGGACATAAACATTGTTACGTTAATGCATCTGTTCTTTTTTTCTCATTTTCCTTTCTTCCATCTTTATTTCCCCATTAGTGATCAAGGGCAAATGATATATACATATTGCTTGTGCCAAAGGCAGTCTGCTTAGCCCAGTATATTTGATGGTTAATTTCACTGATTGATGTACCTTCTGCATTCTTTTTACCTTTTGAAATGCTTTTTTGACAATAGGCATATGGAGTTCACATGAATGGCTATGTTGAAAGAGATGGGCAGAAATATCTATGGTTAGGGAAGAGAAGTGAAGTAAAACCCACCTACCCAGGGATGCTTGATCACCTAGTTGCTGGAGGACTGGTCTGTAGCTACCTTTCGGTTTACATTTACATATTGGCAGTTTTTGTTCCTTCTCACCTTAGATGTAATGCATGCCTCTGCCAAGGGATCCTCGGGATTGGAATCTGAATTTTCTTTTATGTAGGATTGCTTGATCCTATTCATCCATTCTCAAATAAGAAAACAACTAAGAGCATGGTGTGTCTTTTATCATCTATGACCTAGTTCTTTTCAGCTCATATCTCCATGTTGGTGTTTGCAGCCTTATGGGATTCCCTGCGGGCAGAATCTTGTGAAGGAATGTGAGGAGGAAGCTGGCATTCCAAGTTCCATTTCCAATAAGTGAGTTCTTCCTTGCCATTAATCTATCATTTACATTTTTTACTAAACAGCAAACCTTGTATGCACTAGAATGCTGAAGTTTCAGGTGGCAAATACTTGTCCTTTCCAAACGGCATATTCTGTGACCAGCAAATCCTTTAATTCTTGTCATCTCTCCCAGCGTGGTTGATGAGACTGATGGGGTTACAATTTAAAAATGCTTGTCTCACAGAGCTATACCGGTTGGTGCTGTCTCCTACATGGACATTGATGGGTATAGATACAAGAGAGATGTTCTATTTTGTTATGATTTAAAACTTCCTGAAGGTTTTATTCCTAAGAATCAGGGTAAGTCTCAAAAATTCACTGGCCACCCCATCACTTAAAACGAAAATAACAATAATAATGGTTATAATTAATAAAGAAAGAAAGTTCAGCTTCCTTAATTGCATTACTCATTATTGCTTATTGCATGTGGCAGATGGAGAGGTGGAGAGCTTCAAATTGATCCCCGTAACAGATGTTGCAAATGTTATTTCAAGAACACAGTTTTTCAAATCAAATTGCAATGTTGTCATCATCGATTTCTTGTTTCGACATGGGTACAAATTTTCTTCTTTATTGCTTCTTTGATCGTTTTCCACTTCTGAGTATGAGTTAGCTGATAAATATAACAGCATTAACTTGATACTCTGATTATGGATACACATCAAATTGGAATTTTTTTTTTTTTTTTTTTTGGAAAAGGAATCAAATTGCAATATTTGTCATCATCTATTCCTTGTTTCGACATGGGTATACATTTTCTTCTTTATTGTTTCTTGTATAGTTTTCCATTTGAGTATGAGTTAGCTGATAAATCTAACATTATTAACTTCATACTCTTGATTATTGTATCCATAGTAATCTTCTCAAATGATAATTTGCTAATATCCTTAACTTTGCAGAAAAGATAACTTGTTACCAATTAACCCACCTTTTAATACTTGACAAATTATTAGAAAGATATAATTGCTGCTTTTTAATCTCCTAATCTACATTATATATACATATATACATATATATATATATATATTTTGCCCATTATAGTAGTATTTTTACCTTTAACTTTCTCCCATAATATCTGCAGATACATTAGACCTGAAGATGTTGGATACTTGAAGCTACTACAAAGTTTGCGGAGTGGTGATTGCTTCTAAATGTTTTTGTCCTTTTGTGTGAAATTACAATTATGTCGTTTCAAATTTCATAAATAGCGATGACAATGAGTTAAATTTGGAGGTCACAATGGGTCAGTTTTGAGCGTATGACGTAAGGAAAGATAAAAAAAAGAAGCCAAGTTTGTCATACAAATTATTCAATTAGTTGTTAGGTTCTTGTGTCATACTCTCTTTCAATGTTTCTACCATTGCCTTTTTTTTTTTTTTTCGAAAATAAAATATCCTTCTCAATGATATGATTGTGTTTATCAATTTATCTTTTCCCTTGGCAGTTAGCATTGGTCCCCAGTTGCAAAATCCGAAATGAGCTTAAAAGTTAAAATGATACTCTGCATTCACATCATAATATAGCCGTTTCATGACCAAAATTTAGCCCAAGTAAAATGACATTGCAGCCCTAAATTAGTGACATGACAGGCCTCATTAATTTGGTAATCATAGTCCATGGTCAAGCATAAAATTAAATACCTTTGACACAATAACATACTGAGATTGAAAACATTGCCCTCAGATTCGGTCCTCCTATTGCTCGATCAATAAGCAATCAAGCCCACATCAATAACAGCAACAAATGGGAGTTCTAACTCATTCGATTCACTTCCACCTTTGTCTTTGTATCTATAATTTACCACTTTTATGGCTAGCAAAAATTAGTAGCATATACACGAGACATCATAGTCAACATGGAAAGGGTCATACCACACAAGCTTCTAAACATGTACACCTATACACAAACCAAAAGGTTGCAATTTATTAATGTCCTCATTAAATAAGAAATTAAACAGAACATGCAGTTCAAGGATGAGAAAACCACTAATTATTCCAGGAAAGGCTAGAAAGCATAGATTGTCGGGATCCCAAGATGTAGAAAGACCATCATGGCACCGAGGCGAAATATAAAAATTTGATACGCGTCAATGGCCTCGCAAAAAAGAGGCTAGGACAAATTGGCAAGTGAAGCTCAAACTTTCAATTCCTCAGTTTCTGGTTTCAGAGGTTCAAAGAGAGCTTCCACCTCGCTTGGGTTAACTTCCTCCAGCTTTGATGGATTCCACTTTGGGTTCTGCAAATGCAGAAAACAGAAAAGACTGATGAAAATCCTTTCTGACTGTGTCAACAATTTCAAGGACTATTATATGAGAATTGAAGAACCAGGAAATAAGAAATTTTCTTCATTAATTTGACAAACCAAAAGTTCCTAATGGCAGCTCAGTTTGGAAGTATAACATTTCACAGCAGACCCTATTTCCCAATGAATTTCTTACAATCTAGCTTCAATTAACAAGTATGCATTTATTAATGGTTATGCATTTGTGTAAAGAATAACATAAAACATTCCGCATCATCTAATTTAAAACCTGCCCAAACTCAAATGTTGCAATCAAGAAATTGTGCCAGAATCTTTAATGGATTCAAAGCCTTCTAATTTTTAAAACTAATACGCCCACCAACGGACTGTCTACACAGAGCAACGAAACTCTTGTTACAGGAATGCATCTTTCCGCTGGAGACACAACAGGACTTAACACAACACAAGGGTCACATACCACCCAATTATAATTCTCAAAAGAAAACCCATTATAGAAATTATAATTACCAGTGGAAGAGACTTAATAGGAGAGCTTCTATATATGTGTTAGCAACTTAGCACTACTATAGTGAAGACAACAAAATTTAAATTATATCATCCAAATTGCAACAAAATGGATCCATTAGCAGCACAAACAAATTGTGGAGATGATATTTTGGCATGCCAATTGAGTAATAAAAGGAAGACAAAAACCAGAAAGCCAAAAAATATTTTGCTTGTAGCATACACTAATTTTGGAAAATTATCCTCTAATACATTTGAAAATCCGACCAAGTAGGTAAACTCAAATTAAAACTGCAAACTAAAATCAACACCACTTCAACATATAGTGAAAAGGAAATTTCAAGGAATGAGAAGCAAACCTGATCCTTGTCCACCAAGACTGCCCTAACACCTTCAGTGAAATCATTTCGAAGAGACGACCTTATCGCAATGCGATATTCAGTCTTCATCACTCCACTTAACTAGGTATAGCAAATTTCAGGAAGAACAAATATTATTTAAAAAATTAGAGGATCTCAAAGCAAGAACTACTACGTTTTACAAAAAAAAAAAAAAAAAAAAAAAAAAAATTGAAAAAAAGATGAGGGTTGGGTAAAGGATGAAAATGCAACTTCAAACTCACATTGGATAGATCATTGTTTTTTCCACGTGCTGATGCAACTCTGGAGAAATACTTTTGTGTTAGACAAAGAGAAAACGGAGCACCTTTTCCAAGCCCTGTAAGGGCTTCCTTAGCCCACTCTACCACTGCCCATGGAAACAAAGGCAGTAAGTATGAAGGTAGAAATAAAATGAAGAAAGCCATGCTTCTGAACACCTTACCAGTTACCACCGGCGAACAGAGAATTTGATAGCACCAAAATTATATCATTCTCACCTTAGAAAACAACTAGCAATAAGTTGCTCACCTTTAGGATCAGTACTCTGCTCATGCTTTTTCAGCTCTTCTATTGTTTCAATAACAGGCATATTTGCCCCAAAGGACGAAACTATCTGGGGTAAAAGCAGCTTCAATTGAGGCTCAGATTCAGGGTCGCTGCTATATTTCGCCAAAAGAGAGCTGATATTCTGATGTGGATCCTCAGAACTGCATGGATAATACATATATGATATCAGAGTAAGAGCGAGTAGATAAATGATAACATTCTCTCTAATTTGCAAAAGATGGGAGTTAGTGGAGCACTATTTCGTGTCTCCCAAGGAAATATGAATATTACGTACATTTCATACCATTGAAGTACAAGTATTATAAAAAGCATCCATATAATTGCAAGGAAAAGAGGTACGCTTACAGTGCCCATTTCTGAAAATCATCCAGCAACACTACTAAAATATTGCAAGTACAGAAGGATGTCTCTCATCTTTTTACCAAGAAAAATTTATGGGAGTGAGTTCAACAAAAGAATCTGAAATATAATATGCATTACTGAAACTTCTAGTAGTAACGTGTTTTAGGTAAACTTCATGCATTGATTATTGAAGTATAGCTTCTACAACCCCCACCCCTCCAGAAGACATCAGGCAATACTGAACTACGGCCACTAAAGACATGGATGTTTCATCATTACACCAAACTAATTTGAAAGAATGGTTTCAGCAGAAGTGCAAACTACTCTGACATATGATAGTTCATTATCTATTTTGTGTAACTCGTACTGAGGGAAAGCATGCGGCCATGCATATAATTGATATGACATTATTCAGAATTAAAAATTCAGTTTCACCACTAAAATGAAAACAGTTGCTAATAACAGAAAGATGACGAGATGTACAAGGTGGCTGCCAAGAGAGCCTCCTTCAACGAGCCCAAGTTCCCAGATGGCACATAGTGTGTCCCAAGACCTACATATAGTGCATCAGCAGGTGTTGAGATCCTTTTTCCAGTCATTCCAAGATAAGCACCTGCAGAAACTTAAATTTGTTAAACAATCTGGAAAAAGAAAATACACAAAGTAACCAAACAAAAATACGACTCAACTACCTTATAGCAAAGCTTAGACAAAATAGCCATATGACATAAATATCTACTATCTACAACATATAAATAAAAAATCCTCACTGTTGTTAACTTACTAGACGAAAATGTAGTAGAAAAGTAAATAAAAATGATCAAGAGTATCTGTTGGTACTTGTATTTCGACATATTCATCATGCAAGAAAATTAGGAGCCTTAACTACAAAGAACCCAAATGCAGTGAAAACCACATGTGGCATCTACTTGTGCACAAAGGAAAGTTTGAGATTTTATGCATTCTGTTATGACAAAGGAACCAAAATGCAGTGTCTATGTAAATTTAACAAAAAGATGGAAACTTGCAGAAACAGCCAAACCAATTAATATTAAGTACCATAGAGGCTGAGTTCCACCTATACGTGGAACTCATAGAGATGGTGGGATTAATACCACATGGTAGTCAGAAAAAAAATGGAAATGCCGGATTGTGGAAATTAATCATGGAATGATTAATTGTTAAACAGTGAAAACAATCTATCAATGCATCAATCAGCTAGGTTATTTATAAGATGGGAAATTTTGAAAATTGTTTTTTTTTTTTTAAGTTGATATTCACACACACATGCCTCCACCGAGGCTTGTACCGTTAACCTCCTTTTGAGAAGTAAGAGCCTGATACTGCTAGGCCACTGCCTGTTGGTAAATTTTGAAAATTGTTTTTTATATTAGCTCATAATTTGTTTTAACACTTTCAAGTTCATATATCTTGATGGTCATGCGAACATGGTTGCAGAAATGGACAGGATTTAGAGAAATATATTAAAGAAAAAAAATATAGTTTAATTCAAAGAAAATTTTGAAGGTGTTAACACACAGACAAAGAACTCCTACAACTGAAAATGAAAAAAAAAAATACAAAATTAAACTGTGCCCGTGAATTTAGCACCCATGATTAAACTTAGGTGGCTTAGAACCTGCTCCAAGATGATGCTAATGGGTAACAAGTAAACTGTACAAGTATGAGGAGGCTCTTAAGTAATTCACATGGGCCTTCGGCACTTTATGGGAAGCCAATACAACAGGAAAAGCCTGTCGAAGGTGTAACAAGTACTTCTGCAAAAGCAATTTGAAAAGGGGGAGGGAGCTTCCTAATTTTTATTTTCCATACACACTACTAATGTATAATTATCATTCACCTCGTTTGAAGTATTACAATACTTATTTCTCCAAAGCATCCTAGTTGTTTCCCTTGTTCTTTTTCCACACACTGCAGTTACTATGGTAGTAATTGGTAAATTCTTTAGCTTACTTTCACACCATACTAAGGGAATTAAATCCTTTATGACAAGTCTAAGGCCCTAATTGAATCCAGTGGGACCTTCAGAACATCTTAGTATCAGATGATTCAATGCCTTCACAACAATGAGAACAATATCCATTTCATATTTAGTTTGCTTTCAAACTTACTTTAATTTAATAAATACAATGAGTGTCATGCTCCATCATGATGATTTTCAATCATCTAAACTCATTGGGCCTAATTTTGATACAAGGTTCTTAGGTCTCCTAATAAGGATAGGTTGGGTTGAAAGGTTCATCCCAGGTAAACAAATTAAACTTTTTTATAATAGAAAGCATACCAACTGATCCTTCTCCTGGAGTTTGTGCTGCTATATAAGAAAACCCAACATCTGGGAACAAACCAATTCCATTTTCTGGCATAGCAAGAAGACTTTTCTGAAATATATACAAATAACATTTAGAAATTAAAAAGCCATTACAACAGATGTAAAAATTAAACCTCTGTTAGCATATCATAGAAAAGTACGAAGAAAGAAAACAATCTTACCTCGGTGATGAGTCGGTAACGACCATGACCAGATAAGCCAATTCCAAAGCCCATTGTTATGCCATCCATGAAGCATATATATGGCTTTTTGTACTCAGAAATTTTACAAATTAGAGAATATTCTGCAGTAAATACCTGGCAGAAAATTTGGCATGAAAAACACATATAAGCTTCAGTAAACATAATAGACATAAAATATACTAGTTCAAGAAGCTAACTGTTGCGTGACTCAGTGTGATACACATGAAAACTTAGTTAAAATTGTCGTCTATCTAATGCAAAAGAATTAGTCTAACACAAGCAAACTTTTAAATTGAATCACACAACCAACTAGCTATTGTAAATTGACTATAGATCTCTGATGGCACCATTCCACAATAACCAGTAAATTGATCTCTTGAGAGAGGTAAAAATAATAATAAAAGTTCAAACATGGAACAAACACGGTATAAAGAACAATGAATTATACTAAGAAGATGCACAATATTTACAAGTGTTTTTGCATTAAAGGAAATACACAATATGTAATACCCCTAATTTTAAAAGGATAGTCTCGGTATTATTTTAAATGTTTTAATTGCATTTTTATTTATTTACTTGATTATTTGGCTATTTGATTACGTGTTTAATTGAATTGGTTAATTAAATATTTTATTTGCTTAAATCTTTTATTTGATTTAACTGATTAATTGAAAGTATATGCTTGAATGTTATTTGAACTAGTTGATTTAATTGATGTATTTTGTTTATATTAATTGTAGATTAAATAATTAAATATTTATTTTATTTTATTTTATGGATATGGTTAGTAGTAATGGACCAACCAATTGGGTCACATGGACTACTTGGATAGGAGGTTTAATAGGTAAGGATAATTACCATGAATAGTTATATATATATATATATATATAAAAGGAAAGTAATTAATTAATTAATATTATTGTAACTTAGTATTAATAATCTGATGTATATATTTTTATATTTGTATAATAAGGATATACATAGATTATATACGTAACATATTTTTAGTTACCCATGGATAGTTTTATATATATAGATATATATATAAAAGGAAAATAATTAATTAATTAATATTATTGTAACTTAGCATTAATAATCTGATATATATATTTTATATACTTGTGTAATAAGGATATATATAGATTATGTACGTAATATATTTTTAGTTACCTTTTTAATATTTTAATTTTAATATTTTCTTTTATTAAGTTACTTGGATTGTGAAAAGGATTAGATTATTTTATTTAGCCTATAAATATATAAATATAGGTTAGTAAAAGGGGGCTAGAAATTAAATTACGTAGTATATTTTGGAGGAAAAAAGGCAAAGAGTTTAGAGAGAGAGAGAAGGAAGAAAAAAGAAGGAAAAGAGGGAGAAGGAGGCTAGGGTTTTTATCAAAATCCTTAAGGAAAGTTCTTTTCTTCTCTTCTCCTTTGATTCAGATTATATACATGCTAGATTAGTTCCAGGATTATTTAATTAAATTAATTGAACCTAATTGCATGATTAAAACTGAAATTACAGTGTATGTATATATGTAATGGGTTTGTGTATATGCTTGGTAATTTGGACAAAGTGATGCATAATGTATGTTCTACAATGTTTAAATAATGTTTATGAACTGAGGTGGAATTATTGGGACGTTCTGGGAGGTTAAATTGTTATTAAATTTGTTTTAATGATTTTAAATTGTTAAATTAGATTTATGGAGGATTTTAAAAACATGATTTAAGTACACATGTTAAGTATGAAATTTAATTAATTTAAAAGGTTAAATTAATTAAACATGGTTGGATTAAATTATTTTAATCAATTATTTGGTTTTAAATAAATTTGATTAGATTGTGGAGGAGTATAATTATTTGAGATGCATGTTAATTTTTATGAGATAAATTCAATGCATGCTACTTATAATAGTTATATTTTGCTCAATTAAATGCAAAGAAATATCTGTATGATTTATATCATGCTAAGTATGGATTTATTTGATGTGATATCATAACTGTAGCATCATTTATGGATTGTATGCATTATATACACCAGTATGGAATAGTGGCATATTAGGGACGGATTAACTAAAAACGTTAAGTCCTACCTATTCATGTATAACGGGATTAACTAAAATGTTAAATCTTACATATTTTTATGTTAGAACAAATTATATATATATAGTTATATGCTATGATATGAGCTTAAGTCTCAGAATCATGGTTAGGGTGCGTATATTGCCAGGAATGTGTAGCTAGATATAGTGTAGTTGTGTGCCCTGGTAGGTCTAGGTACTCATGCCCACTATATGTGCATTTTGCATGTTGCCTACTATTCAGGTTGAGGCAACCCTATAGTCTAGTGAGGTTCCTTTAGTATGTGTGTGTATATATATATAGGGACTATTAGTTATTGTTGAATTAATTAGGATGTATATGAGTTCTGAGTCTTTATTTGGAATGTAGTAGATTAGAGCTTGTTTGTGGGCCTGACCCATCATTATTTTTCAGGTGTTCGTCAGTTCCAGGCTTAGGGATTGTTCGTGCTGAGCAGAGACGATCTATTCACTCGTCCGTCTTAACGTAGGATTTTCTTATTATTGTTTTAGTCAAATATTATTTTATTTTAGTTGGATTTTGGATTAGGGGTCCACATAATAGATTTCCAAGTTGTAAATTTAATTAATTACTGGTCTAAGAGGATTTTGTTATTGGAGGCTTATTATTGGATTAATTATTAAAGGATTTATTATTTTAGTTTCTTTTAGCTTTATTATTTATTCTTAAATCTATTTTGTATTCCATGCTTGTTAAATACTTTAATTGTTTGATATTCCTTCGGGTTTGGGCTTGGGCCTGATCAACCCATGTCTTGGAGTCGAGGGGTATTACATAATACAATTCGTTTTTCAGGGACTTTCATACTCAAAAAGGTGGTAAAACTAATATACTTTTCAATGTTTTAGCAATGCAGAAGTGGAAACACTATAAATCAAATAGTAAGACCACAAAATAGATATGCAACCAGCCTAGTAGGCTAGCTGGTAACCCATTGGACCCTTAAGTCTCAACCTAAAAGTCAGGTCTCAAGTCCCCTCTTAGTCTACAAAAAATTTACAGTACAGTTTTACTCAAGTCATAAAATGCATCTCAACATATAAAATGTCAAACAAAATGCACAATTTTCTTCCTAAGAACGAGAATGGGCTGAGAAACAAATAAAGAAACAATGTTCAGATTCAAAATCATAGGAACACATGTTAACCCTCATTGCAGAATTACACAATTATGCGGACATTCTTTTAAGATTGATGGTATATTGAGTTCTTCGATGTGTAGAATACTACTCCCCATCAACAATTAAGCATGCCCAATGCTGGCTTGAACCCTGTCTTGATTGTGTTTGGCACTTGGACATTTTTAGGAGGTTTCATCTTATTACTTTAAAAATGTGAAGAACAAGAAAATTGTTAAAAAATCAGTTTAAATTAATTACTTTCTTTAATATATATTTTTCTAAGGATGAGCCTTGTCATAACGGTAAGGTTGCTCTATCATGACCTGGAGGTCACGGATTCGAAAAAAGGAAACAACCTCTCCACATACGGAGGTAAGACTGCGTACATCTAACCCTCCCCAGACCCCGCAATGGCGGGAGTCTCGTGCATTGGGTTTACCCTTTTTCTAATATATATTTTTCTAGATTCTCCCACATGAACCCTCAAATTAAATAAAGTTAAATGTAAATATTTAATTTGATAAATTAAATCATGCACACATATAGTTGTCTTCCAGAATCCAGTAAACCCATGTCAGACACCTCATGTTCATGTTGGAACGTAGAAATTGTGTTCAACCCCAGGCCAGAAAAGCTAATACCAGCTGGTAATTGGTATCTTAATGTTACTAGAAATGCAAATAATAAAGTGCAGTCATCCAGCATCAGTACAACTTAGTGAAGTGAATATGGTGTTGAATATGCTGATATTAGTTAAAAGGACCCAAAAAGACCTCAATCATATCTGATAGTTGGGTTTTGGTTGTGATCTGCTTCACATCACCACCTGCAGATAAAGGGATGAACTAAGACTTGGGTCATCAATTAGGCAAGCATTTACTAGTTCTATTTATGAAAAATAATACTGTCAACTATTAAATATGCAACAGAAAAAGAACGTCAAGTATGTGAAGGTGCAAATAACATCAATAACGACCATAATGAATAAACTTCCAGCCGCACACCAGACTAGTAGTATAAATAATGCGTATTAAGAAAAACCTTCTGTACAAGAGGTGTATTTTTGTCCTTTTGAATCTCAGCAACAACCCCTTTAATATCCATCCCTGCATTGGCCATCAATGGTTACCCTCAAAACCTTACCAAACACTCCATAAGATGAAAATAACCCCATAAAGTAGTCAAATTCAATGAGAAAAATATTGCTGAAATTACATTAAGAAGTCAGCTGTAAGATATTTAAGTTAAAAAGGAAGATCTGAAGGCAACTATTGTCCACCAAAGAAGAAATATAACATTTTCTTTATGTCACCTGCTGAAAAGGCACGTGGTGAACAACCCTCAACCAGAACACATTTCACCTTTGGATCCACTTCCCATTGTTCAAGAAAACTCTTGTATTTTATGTCCATATCTGCATCATTGTGCAATTACAATTCAGTACAATGAGGATCTAACCCCCAAGGCAAAACATTAGATAAGTTAAAGGCAAGTTATGCAATGAGTTGACTTCTGAAATTTGGTAAGGTTTGTACTTTTAAGCCTGAAATTTGAAAAGTTACAATATTCAATTCAGCTCAACAAACCTTTTCTCCAAGTACTTGGACTTGGCGACGTGAATGTTATTTCTCATTCCATTCTATCTAAGGCCACAGATCAGTCAAACCCCTTGTAATCATCTTAATCGATTTTCTCTCATTTTATCTTCAATTGGTGCTACTTCAACCATCTACAAATGTGCTCGTTTCTAGTTCTATCATTTCTTATCTTGCCACACCTCAATCTCAGTATTTGCATTTCCGCCATGCATTTCCCAACCATCTTAGAAAGTTACAATTTGACATCTATTTTACACGGATTTAAATACATCTTTTTGCAGCAGGTTGGTGTCCAAGTGTCAAATTTATCAAATCCCCAAACCAAAAGGCAAGGTAACACGGTAAATGTTCATAGTTCTCATTATTATTACTTTTATTATTTTTTTTAATGTTTTTGGCATGATATAAGAGTGTTCAACATATACACATCACTTAATTTCAGGCAAGAATCTAAAAAAAAAAAATGAAGAAGAAGGAAGTTTTAAGTGCTTATTAGGTCCATATATAACGAAACAAGTCAAAAACATATTCAATACCCACAACCATGTCTTGTGAAGAGTCCATGTAACACAGTTGGACCCTTACAACTTTAAGGCCTGTCCAGCCACACCCTATAGTTGTCAGTTCACTCAGTTTAATAAGGAAACTGCACATAACAGTTTTCAAAACCAATAAATTCTTCAAAATTTCAGGTACATATTGCAAGTATCTAGATTTTCCAGAAAAAAGGATAATTTGAGAGTAAAACAGTTGAGAAATATAGTCTGCTCTTTTAATAGTAAAGGAGCACCAAATTGTATCCAATTTGCATGCTTCAAACTCCAGTCAGCTCAACAAAGTTTTTCTTTTTTTCCAACCACTCAAGTTCTTTTATATGAATTATACTTCTGTTCCGCTATATCAAAAGCCATAACCCCAGTCAAACTCTATGTTATCATATCATTTCTTACTAACTCTACCCACATTAAGTTAATCTTCCCCTTCTCCCAGGGTTATGCAAGCCATGTTACTCTTCCTACCGGGCAGTTCTTTCTACAACTGTACAATCTTGATTAATTTTCTTTGACTTTATCTCCAACTGGTCTTACTTCAAACTCTTTGCCAAAGTTTCAAGAGCAGGTCTTTAGATTTACTAACTCTACCAACATTAAGTTAATTTTATTTTATATGGATTGTGCTTTTCTGTTCCGCTATATCTAAAGCCATAGCCCCAGTCAAACTATATGTTATCATACATTCCTTACTAACTCTACCCACATTGAGTTAGTCTTCCCCTTCTCCCAGGGTTATGTGAGCCATGTCACTCTTCCTACCGGGTGGTTCTTTTTACACATGCAATCTTGATTAATTTTCTTTGACTTTATCTCCAATTGGTCCTACTTCAGCCATCTCACCATTTGCATTTTCACCTCAACTAACTTTATGCACATGCAGTCTATTACAGAAACAACCGTTGGTCTAATAGCATGGAACACTGGAAACTCTTCCAAAAGATTTTAAGACCTTTTAATTTAGTACCGAATTTGTATAAAATGTTAAGGGATGTCCTAAAAAAATCTAGGGGCATATCTCTATTCATGTCCAATTTGGAATATAATATATATATATATATATAGATACACACACTTTAAACTCTTTGCCAAAGTTTCAAGAGCAGGTTTTCTTTCGTTTTTTCACACTTCTTTTCAGTCCCCAAAATAGACGCACAAAATGAACTAAAAGATTAAAGCTGCATTCACTGAATTATATAGTGTTCTTTGAAGTGAAACAAACAGCCTAAACTTCAACAGTACCTTCAAAAGTCAAAGCAATCAACTCTTGAAACAACCAAATCTTTTAACTATTCTCTTAATTTTCAGGATTGAGCATTATTGAATACGATCAATCATGAGATCACCAAAAGTTGTAGTCCTAATCCCTCTCAGGCTCTCCTAATTAAATTTAACAGCTCAATCTATGCGTTTCAACTTTCAAGATATACATACATATATATATATATATATATAGAGAGAGAGAGAGAGAGAGAGAGAGAGAGGAGTAAAAATGAAACCTATGTTCATGGCGTTGAGAGCTTTGGGGCGATCGAGAGTGATGACAGCGACACCGTTTGGATGGACATTTCCCTTGACGAATTCATCACTACTGTTGGCCATGATCGCAAATCTTCGAAGAGAGAGAAATTTCTTGGAGATGTTGTCGAGAGAGAGATTGCAGAAACGTAAATGTGCAGTGAGAGAGTGAGGAGGGTTGGCAAAGAGTGCGGACGATCGGTTCAGGAGCTGATGAGAAACACTTGTCACACTTCGCATGTTTCGCGACCCACAAATGAGACTTCGTCGTGGGATTAAATTCTGTATTCACTCGAAGGCCTTGTGCAATTTGGGCCAAGAAAAGTGGCTTGTGTAGTACAAACTTAAGCAGGCCTGGTCCAGTAATATAATGTGTTTTCAGTTAGTCTGCTCCATAATCTAAGCATAGGTGAGTGTCTTACACAACCCTTAACAAGTAACTAAGTAAGTAACCAAGCTAGCTTAGTGTTATTTTTTTATTTATTAATTAGCTCGATAAAAAACACACTTACAATCTTATCAAGCTTAATTTACCTAGCTGATTTGTCTCAGATTGTGGTGCAACTTGTGCAGAGTGAACAAGTTGAGGACCTAATCATGCTCAACTCAATGTTATAAAAGTTTGAACCTAAGTGAACTTAAATCGTTCCATTTCATTTAAAAGATAGATGAGATATCAGTTAATTACAATTCTCCATAAAATTTTACTATGTTAAACATGTACATCAAGGGAAGTTATTGGTTCTTGTAATAACACTGGTCAGAGCTCAGGTGGGACTGAACTTGCACCAAAGAAGTACTCCGGAGGATTTTCAATAACATAAAACTATATTGATGTCTTAATGCATGAAACAATCTCTTTCAATACCATTCAATTAAGAAAAAATTAAGAAAAAAATGAAAAACTCGCCAAGCAATTTTTGTTATTGACTGATATGACAATCATGAATTTAACATTCTAAGAAGAAAATGTATCTATTCTTATCGAATAATGAAGAGTTCTTATTGAACACTAATTATTAGAGTCACATAAAATACAGTCACCACTGCCGTTCGTAACATTACTCTTAAACTAATAATGAATCCTCAACTGAAAATTTAGATCCCCCTTAAATTGAGACAAGCATAAGTTCTAGGGCAATTTTGGTACAATGGAAATGAAAATAAAAGAAAATAATGGTAAGGGAGAGAGATGAGAAATTGTGTTTGGTATGAAATGTTAGAAGGAAAATAAAAAGAAAAAGAAATATTTGGTGGAATACAGTGAGGCATGAATTATAACTTTTGTTCTCCTCTCATTTATTTATTTATTTTATTTATTTAATTATTATTTTTTTTTTTGGAGAAAATGGAAAGGAAGACCATAATTTTTAATGAAACTTTGTTAATATTAAATTTGCTCTTATTTTTATAAAAGACAAGATCTAAAAATTCATTAAAATAATCTATTTTCCTTTATTTCCTTAAATATGGTCATTACCATTCCCTTCCTTTTCCTTCCTTAATCAACCAAACAGAATAAATACCAAACAACATTCTCTCTTTTCCTTTCTTCTCTCTCTCTCTCTCGCAAGTAATGTTATAATGTTGAGTATGCTAAGTGCTGCTTCCCTCTTTAAAATGACTAGTATTAAGAAGTACTTGGGCAATTAGTTGATCAACTCTGTTGATCAGACCAGGAACATTTATTATACATCCCAACCCAATAAATACAGCTACTCGAAGTCATGTTAACTTGGGAACCAGCCGCCCAACTTTCTCTCCCACCTCTCTCTCTAACTTTCTCTCTCTAAGAGATAGCTTCGTCTTCTTTACTCTGCCTCTCAGAAGTAGGGAGATAAAGGCCGCTTCCCACAACTACAATAAACTCGGCGTGTTTCAATAAATATGCTCTGTGAATTTTTTTTTAAGTCGTTTTTTTGTTTTCTTCTGCTAAATCTGTTCATGTTCGGTTTGGTTCGTTTTCAGATCACATAGGCAAGTTTGTTGTTTTCTTGGACTAGATTTCTGGTTTAGGTCGGTTTTGGTTTTCCCGTCTCGATTTAATCTTTTTTTCCTTGATTTGATCTTGTACGGGGTTTCTTGGGTGTTGGAGCGCCTTATGGTTGTACCTTTAGAGCGGTTGCCGTGATGATGGCCAGACCTTTCGGTCTCTCCTGTTTGCTGCGTTCTCCCATAGTGATTCCATTTGCAGAGTACTGAGCTCTGTTTCCTCCACAAATCTGACGCATGTTCTTCATTTATTTGCTTTACTTCAAGATTTGTATGCCTTTTCTGGTTTGACTTTATACCTTTGTACTGTCATCTTGGCTTTAGGTCTTTGTGCCTTTAAATGACTCAAAAAAAAAAAAATATATATATATATATAAATAAATAAAAAATAAGAAAAAGTCATGTTAACTTGGTAACACATTTCAAGCAAAAAAAGGTGTAACATGTATGGATCCAAAGACACACTAGCGCTTCCATCAATTTCATTCCAAATGTTCCATATTTTACAACCAAGAGACAAAATACATATTCAATCCATAACAGTTCCATCTAAATACTAGTCAGGAGACAAAACCAACCTATAGCAACCACAGAGCCTCCTAAAGATAAAACCACCACCCATGTACCAACAACATCCCAAGAGCTCATCAATAGAGACAATTTCCAATTGCCTCATTATTTATCATCTTACCTCTTATAACTCGGCTTAAGAAATAGGTCTAAAAAGCATCTATCTAATTACTTGTCTGCTCGAGGTCAATGACTAAAACCCCAACACTTTCCCTAGCACCCCAAGGAGCTGGAGATGTGCAGTTAACTGAGGAAAATGGCCGGGGGTGTCGATGATTTCAATCGTCGTTTCGCCCTTGATCTTCCTCTGCATGTAGTCCGGGACACCGGACGGTACAACGAAGTCGCTAGTGGTCGAGATGATGGTGCATGGGGTTGTGACCTTCTCGAGAGTGTCTCTTTCATCACTCTGAAAAATAAGTTTTGCTGTAGAGAGTGCAGCTTCAGGCCTCATTCTTTTCACGCACTTTTCGACTTTCTCTACGGAGAGAGGATCGCTTGCATCAACACCCACAGAAACAAACTGTGAAGCCCAATTGTTGAAATTGAACTCTATATTTGACAAGATTTGCTCAATATCTGATTTTTCAAACCCTCCTTCATAGTCTTCCGAATTTAGGTACCTTTATGCAAAATCAATAAATTAGTTAGGATTTTGTTTGGATACACATACTCATCTACCTGAATCATTCTCATAGCATATTAATAAGATTTGCCAATAACAAAAAAGAAAAAAAGAAAAGAAAAGGAAAACTTATGATATCTTGATGTCTATAACACTTGAACCAAATTCTTTCTCTAATCAAAATTATTAACTAAAGACAAATACAGAACATAGAATATAATACTTGAACCAAATTATTTCTCTATTAAAGACAAATACAAAAAATAGCATTTAATACTTGAACCATATTATTTCTCTAATCAAAATTATTAACTAAAGACAAATACAAAACATAGAATATTGATTGTTGAACATGGAAATTCTTCAATATTCCAAGTAAGAGAAAGAATATCAAATAATAAAGACAGCAACAGATTAAAAAAGATAAAAAGAAAACATAGAAGAAAACCCATGTTCTCTCAACCAATCTAAGACCATATTATTTCACTAATAACAAAAAAAAAAAGCTAAATTAAAACAAAAATATATTAATTAATATAGAAATAGACTGAACATGGGTATTCTTTAGCACTCTCCACTCCAACATATATCAAAAGGACTAGCCCTCTGCTAAAGGCTCCCGCCATTTACAAGGTGCAGGAGAGTCATAAGTACACAATATTAGCTTCACATGCACGAGAATGTTTCCTTATTTCGGATAGTGACCACCATGTCACACAATACATCAAAAATATCAAGACAATTATATATATTTTTTTTCCTTTCAAAAACACATCAGATAATATATAAATCAGCATGAATACACACACACACACACACACACACACACACACACACACACACCTCGGTGAAGCTCCAATGAGTATGAGGCTCTTGAAGAGCTCGGGTCTCTTAATGGAAGCAATGCATCCAATAATACCAGACATAGAGTGGCCAACAAGAACTGATGAGGTCAAGTTCATCTCTTCTAGAAGACTGATCAAGTCATCGGCAAATGAATCAAATGATGAATACTTCACCGGATCAAAGAGGTTCTGGTCTTTGACAGCTCCAGAAAAGCTCCAATCAAAGACAAGAACGCGGTAACGTTCAGCCAAGCAGGGAAGGATTTTGTCCCACCAAGACTGGTCTCCGCCATACCCATGTGCCAGAACTATTGCCTCCTTGCCAGACCCCACTATTCTAGCATTCATGGCTGTGGACAGACCCTTCTCAAGCCTCACCATGTTTTTCTACCAGAGTGTGTTTGTGTATGCGTGTGTGTGGGGGCTATGTATGGTATAGTTTTGTGGTTGTCTGTCCTGTTTATATAGGCACAGGATTGGATGGTTTAACAGATAAAAATTAAGATAAGCACATGGGTTTAATCATATATTATGATTGTGTGTAAATAATTGGGGTTAAAGTTGGAAATTTCGTGGAGAGGCCTCGTCTTGACAAGGACACTATTATGATGTCTATTTCAGCAATTGCCCATTTTCGTCCAGTCTCATCATATTCATATTGGTTATCTGTTTCGAATTTCAAACTTATGATGGTGATTAAAATGGACTGTAAATGGACATTTTTCAAAACTGAACCACCCAAGCCCCTGAAATGTTATAAAATTTCATTACATTATAACATTAGCATAATCTGCAGTACTAAAATGTTGCCTAATTAAGTTTTACTAAAGGAGTTAAATATATAGTTATCCGTGACTGTTGAATATGATTACTTTGTTTGTTTGATAATTATATATATTTGATACTTAAATAATATGTGACGGCCACTGTACTTGATGTGGGGAAAATTTCTTGTTCAGTAGTGAGCAAAAAATCATTTTTGTATTCCTAATTTATTCAAATATTTACATATATGAAGGGAGAGTAAGCCCATGTACTTATTATTGTTACATATATGAAGGGAGAATAGAGTACAGCCTAATATTAGGAGAATAAAGTTAAGTTTTAACTTTATAACAACAGCAACATAATTTTATTTTGAGGTATCAGCCTAAAATTTTATTTATTATAAACGTGGAATATATGATACTAGCATTGCTCTACCTAATTGTTCTATTTAAAAATCCTGAATTGAGGGATCAAAACCTCCAACGAAATTTAGATCGAAATTTCATTATTTCATTTGACAGCGTTAATCACCATCCATTCACCTAAAAGTTTAAGTTATTAGAAATTGTATAATTGTAATATTTAAATACTCTAACACAGGTAATTAAATCAGCTTTGATACTGAGTTAACTACTAAAACTTTAAACTAATACATACAGGGGTAACATCCTCTGGCACAAGGAAAAAAAACTTGTGTGCATATATATATATATATTAAAAAAATATGATTTCAGCTTGGAGTAGGTTAGACCTACCGTGCAAAGAGAGTCAATCTCGGCATTATGGTAGGAGTGGATTGAAGAGTTGGATTACATTTAAAGCTTAGATAGAAATTTTAGGAAGAGAGTGAATTTATAAGACCGTTGGGATCATTTAATAATATGTTTGAACTTTTCAAGATACATTGCCAAGGAGAGCCACATATTGGTAGCCATTCCTGCACCAAGAAAAATGTGTATGAGTTTGCTTTTTTGACGGTTTTAGGAGCCAAAAAGAGTTTGTCTTGAAATAATTTCTGAGTCACATCACCTTTTTTTAATGAACAAATTAAAATGGCAATGTATTTATAAGCAAGTAATGAGATTTTCTTTTGAATATAAATATTGCTCAATACCTTGTGCTAACAATCAATATAATTGTTAATATAAGGATTAATGTTATTTAAATCTATTTGTTTAATTCAGAAGAATTATAAAGGAAAAAATCCAACCACTATTGTCGTTGATTTGAGAAATCAATTTACAAATTAAAAAGTCCACACTCGTGTTTAGTGACTTTGAGTAATTAGGTAAAAATACCAATCTCAAAACCTGTTGTGATTATTTATTCACATTTTTTTTTTTAACAGTTATTGTGATGGATTGAAAATCACATCCATATTCTTGAAGAAAGATATTCTCTTGAGGTCATCTCAAGCGGTATACGTCCAGTGGTGATTTGCACACATTAGAAGTGTTTGACAAGCAATTATTTATGCCAAAAGCTCAAGAAAATAAAAAAACAAAAAAAAAAAAATATATATATATATATATATATATATATATATATTTTTTTAAAATTTTTTTTTTTATTTGATATTCATACACTTTTTTTTTTTTTTTTGAGATTTAAATTCCTGAATTTTTTTAAAAAATAAAAAATTAATATCGTTAGGTTAATGAACCTTTGGTTATATGTATATATTTTTAAAAATTTTATCTGTTTATTTAATTAAGGTTTATGATACTACGTATTGGGAGGTGAAATGAATTAGGATTAAAAAAGGGTAGTGGGGGCCTAGAGGAGAAATGGAGGACAACCACATAAAGCTGCAACCGTGTTCAGACTTTAGACATAAAAAGTAGTCATTTGTCGTTTTGTGTTTATTGGGGGCTGGTCCAGATAAGTCCAGAGCTCGACTTTTCTGCCATTAAAAGTGGCGTGCCCCACCACGTGATGTGATCCCTCCACCATGGTACTATACTGCGAAAGTTGCAAATAAGTGGAAATGTGGACCTCTATCCATAAGTCTACATTGAAAATCAAGTACCATGTAATTAACGAGACCAAAAAACAAAAAAAAAATTCATTTATTTATAAAGATCACTATATTGAAAATTCACATTTTTTTGAATGTTTGTTACACATTTTTCATTGATTTTTTTTATGAAGACATGGTATTGAAAATTTACATTTTTTACATTTTATAATCATTTTTTGTCTCTTTACCCATTCCATATAGATGCAATTTTTTTTGTCTCTTTACCCTTATGCTATATTTAGTTGGATGGATGGATTAAGGAGGGATGGATGAGGTTTTTCGTGTTTGGTTGGAGGGAAGGGAAGAGAGGGAGGGATGCTTCACCCCTCCCTTCTTCATGTTTTTCTATCCGTCCAAATTTGGAGGAAGGGAGGAGAGAGAAAATGAATAATTACCAACAATATGTAATTTTCAATTTTAACCTTTTCAAAAAAATTCAAATGGATATCTACTTTTTATTATTTTATACAGTAAGGATATATTGGTAAGAAAATATAAAAAATTTATTTCTCTTTCTTCCAACCAAACAAAAAAAGTATCACCCCATCCATCCTTTCTACTATTCATTCCATTCAACCAAACAAAAAATGGATGAGACAACTTCCGTTCCCTAGGGATTCTTCATCTATCCATCCCTCTATCTCTTCCATCCATTTTTTCATCCCTCCAACCAAACGAAGCATTAGTATATATGTGAAAAGTGGACTTCAATTTTTCATGTATTTGTAATTATAAGTCCTTAATTCAAATTCTTAACAATGTTACCAAATAGATGCATAATTTTTTTGTAAAAAAAAAATACGATAAAACATGTTTTTATGAACTCACACGGGACATCATCAAGATAGACTTGTTTCAACTAACTTGGTTCGATAGAACCAAATCCTTCTGTAAAGATTTTATAGGAGAAAAATTAAATGACATATTAATTCACAGTATGAACCCAATGGCCCAAACATGAAACTCAAGCTTGTTACATAATTTACTGAAGTTACAATGCATTAAATTCAAATTTAACAAGATAATAACTTAATTTAATATTGAATTCAAATACTTAAAAAATTATCATAAGTTGTATAGATGAACATATATATTATATATATGTTTTAGGGCAAAAATACTAAATTAGATATTAAAGTTGTAAAAGTTTAAAATTGAACTTCTAGGTATAACGAGAAGTAACTCAACTGTTGAGTTATGAAAGCATTTACATAAATAAATACTAGTTTATATATGATATATAAGATTTTTAATTATAATTCCTTCTTTAAGGAAAAAAAAAAAAAAAAATCTATTAATATTTTCTCAGAGGAAATTTGGGGAAAGGGCAGTTAATATTCCAACGGAAATAGAAGCGCCCCACATACATGAGTTGTCGGTCGAATTGTGAAGAAACCACAAGTCAAAAATAAAAACTTGTTGGATCAAACTTTACAATTTAATTAAATATATGGGCCGTGGCCCAACAACTTTCTAGAGGTTGTCTCTTGTTTGCATCGAAAGACATGTGAGATCTTTTTCGTGATATGAGAGGGACGTGTTCTTTGTCACGTCTTTGATATTTTTTTCTTGGACTTGGATTCTTTTCTTTAACCAGAATCCTACTACTGATTCAATGCTGATGTCAGAATTTAGTAAATACTCCATATGTTGTTATTCAAGTAAAGTATCATCAAACAAGTCAAAACATGATTTGGTATTTGAAGCACAAATAATACTATCACACACACACACACACACACACACACACACACATACATACTGACACAGGTACATATGTAATTTAACATGTAATGTATGTCCTGAATAATTGACAAAAATATATCCAATAAAACATGTTGATGAAACGCATTCTTGGGAATTTGGTACCTCAAAAGGTGGACACAAACGGACATATGTCCTGAATAATTGGTTGGCTGAGATAAACAACGGTTCTTGATCCAAATGGCCTTTCTGACCAAATTTTATATATATATATATATATATATAATGGTGTATATGTTAAGCCACATAAAGTGAAAACGAGAGCACAAAAACGATAAAATTAAATCACAAATAGTAAAAAAAAAAAAGAACGAAATGTAAGAGCGGTACCCGTTGAGAAAAATTGTATAACTTAAGATATATACACTATTCAATCTAATATATATTTAATGGAGTATATGTACTATTCAATCCAATTCGATTTGTAATCAAACCATCATAATAATTTTTTTCATTCAAAGTAACATACAAGTTTCTAAAATCAGATTAAAAAAGAAGTAAAGCAACCACCTTAGCGCTTTAACATAGAATTGATTCTGAGGAAGTGGACATCCGTGATTTCTTGAAGATAAGAATAAGTTTATCAGTTAAAGAGGAATCATATGACTTACGATTTGGTAATGATTTTAATACTGGCTTCATCTATTTAATTTAGGCATTGATTAATCAAATAAGGAATAGCTTTACCTTTTCAAGGTTTAGAGTTTGATAGATAGGCAGGCTGTTTAATTAAATTATAGACCTATAAATGGGTTGAACCTATTGATTTTTTAATAAAAAAATTGATAGAGTAATGCTATTCAAAAAGAATCTTTAGATTTATAATTTTCAATACAGAATGATGTAGCTCATTTTGGATTCATTTCTTCCAAACTAAAGGAATATTATTTTTTGTTCTATTTTTAAAATTGTTATTACCATATATCATTATACAATATTTTACTATATGAAAATTTCAATTATTTAACACAACTTAAGTCATATAGAATGGGTACGAGAGTATGAATGGTCATATAAAGTGGGTACGAGAGTAGGAGTCACACTTAAATCAATGCCTAGAGTCGTATGACTTACTATGCAAAGACGGAGTCGCTAGAATTGACAGGCATATTAGTGATTAGAAAATGGGACAAGTTGATAGATATAATAAGAGAAGTATTCAAATTGTTTGGAGGAGTTGAAGCGAGATTATAAGAATGACAATAAATGCAAGAATGCAACTTGGAACTGCACCAGAAACGTTTTGAAGCAAAGGGTGCAATGAACCTGATGAAGTAATTTATGGTTGGCATTGAACTGAAAAGGACAATTGCTTTTGACTCGAAGAAAGGACAGAAAATTAGTTTGAAGTTTGAAAGCCATTAAAGCCTAAAAGGTGAGATCCACTATTCATTGAAGACAACTGGTGCAAAAATGGGACATGACACTATGACACTACTTGATGAATACATTACATCGGCAGTTTTCAGTAGCGCACATTGCATTAAGGCATCACCAAACAGTTGTGTGCTCATTGAAAGGATGACTCCAAACTACTACAGTACTTTTAATTAATTTATTTATTTAGGAAGGAAAGGGGGGAAAAGAAAAGGAGTAGAAAGGAAAGGAAAATGAAAAGGAAAGGAAAATGAAAAGAAAAGGAGTAGGAAGGAAAGGAAAATGACGTTTTCCTACAAGCATTTTGCATTTTGGCTAACACCGTTATGTTAATACATAAGCTTAAATTATAAAATCACAAGATAACCCTTTTCTTCATTTCTCTTTCCTAATCAACCAAACAAAATGAAAGAAGACAACTTCCTTACCCTTGATAGCCTTTTCATCCCCTCTTACCGGCTGCACGGAGATGATGGAATCCACCTTTGACAAAGAAGTTCTTGCCTCGGTGCACCTGGTGTCGTCCGAAAAACCAAAACCAAATCCAATTTATGGTTTCTCTACTGCAAATACATATTAGCATAGAAATAGGAAAACAATTTAACAAATATTAAGCATCTTCACGAACAAATAATATCACTGCATTGAGAGAGAGAGAAAGAATGACCGCATACGAGTCACGTACGCAATAATCAATCACTACATCCTACCCAGAAGGTAATGGTAGGAGAAAAATGTAGCTGCTTTCTTGTTCTTAAGAAGAACAGGTTAATCTAAAGAAGAAGGATTTGGAACTGTGAAACATTTATCCACACTTCCATAAATAATTGAAAACATTAATAACACTGTCTCAATGTAATATCCATGACTAATCAATTCCACTGGTTCAAATGCAAATAAAAAGGTTTCAGAGATGACAAATGCCTTCTAAAATGCAAAATCTAAAATCCAAGCACTCTCCCTGCTGTTAACAAAAGGAACTACCTCTGCAAACAGCAACTCAAATCTTTTAGCCAGACAGGCTTGTCCGGAGCACAAATCAATCACTTTTGACGGTGACTAAGAAAAAATGCCTGTACAAAGAATGAGAGCAACGCTTGGCAGTAATTTATCGTACAAAAGATAGATATTTAGTTAAATGTCAATACTGTGTTGTAGAATTTTTTCCATCTTCAATGCCACAGCTTACCACAGAAACCAAGCCGTGGCTTCTTTATGGATATGATATCTGAGAAGGAGTCAACCAATTGTCCTGCCAAACTACTTGGATCGTCAATCAGAGTTTGAATAAAGGTGTTGACCACCCTGCGTTCCTGTTCGGTTGATCTTAGGCTAAACCACGTTAGAAATTTCAGCCTAAATTCCGTTGTAATATGATTTTCACATTCCAACTGTCGAATGATCTTCACACAGTACTCAAAACTCTTATCCAAGCAACCTGATCCATTGCAGATTCGAAGTGGTGATCCATTAATCAGAGTGCTATCGTTGTCGTGTGTCTCTTCATTCGAGCTTGTCGCCCTTTTCCTGGACTGTTCTGCCTGGGAATCAACAGCTGGCACTTCCCCAGCTGGTCCATGGGTCCAATCCTGGGAGTCACCACTACCGTAGGATCTCACTAGGCCATTCTTCTCAATGTCATGAGAAACAGCATGATCAGCACCATCGTTTGCCCCAACGGCCTGCCCCAAAGCGCACCCATTATTTTCATCCCCAGGGGATTCAAATGGAGGAGGTAGCTCCTCGTTTAAATCAGGTACTGAAGAAATGTTCAAGTCAAGTCCCTGTGAAACAGATGGCAACTGGTTTTCTTCTAAAGTTTCAGGTATCCCTTCATTAACTCCACAGCGTTTTCCCATATCTACACCACAAAACCCTTCATAGCAACCTTGTTCTTGAGCCTTAATTAAGCTCACGATCTTCCCAAGATCTCGAACCTTGAATTCAGAGGAAGATCCACCAGCTACTGTAGTCTTGGGCTGCTTTTCGGCATTGGAAAATCCTCCAATCAGGGGAATTTCTTTCTTAGAACTCATGGCAGCTGAGTTGGAATTCTTGTGAATTATCTCCACACTCTTGGAGAAACACTTTGCCTCAGAGTGTCCCAGGTCACCAACCTCCGTGTAAGAAATTATCCGGAAGGAGTACTCTGTGCACGGCAGCAGATTGGAAATCGAAATCCTTCTCTGCTCTTTTGGAAAGATACAAATAGGTTCTTTAGAATATGTCTCATCTCTACTCTTGCAATACCAAAGCTTGTAGCCCTTCGTATCATCAGATGACGTAGTAGATATTTCAGTTAAAACAATCACAACTGAAGAAGACGTCACTTCTTCAAAGAGGAATCCGCAAGCTGCAGGAAGTGAGCCCTCTGCCAAGGCAACAAAGAAAATTTATTCATTGAAGGACTATAATATAATTCTTTTGAACGATTGGAAGTAAATATAGACAAATGTTTAAGAGTAATAACCTCCGCAGTTTGGATTCCTGTTAGAAATGGTGGCCAGCCATTCATCTGCCTTCTCAATTGCAAGAGAGCAGAGTTTATGCACATCACCTGCAACAGAAAGTCTGCTGACGATGCCCCGTGCCATCTTGGACGAAACTCCATTCACTGGACCAACCTCTGTTTCTAATTTGGTCTTGGCATTGCTAACAATTTCATGCAGTTGTTTAAACCTGGAAGTTCCATCCAGGAGCCTGTAACTCAAGAACATCCTATGACAGAGGACATCAACACGGCGAGCATCCTTTGCTATACTCAGCTGCTTTTTCCAACATCTGGCAGAATGAATATAGTGAGACCAATCAGGATCACAACCTACTTAAAGGAATCAAAATTACTTGCAGTTTACTGATCTCTACCATATTTTCTCACCGTGTTAAGATTCAAGCCCAAATACAACCCAAAAACACAGTTCCCTGTTTCCCATGATTAATTGAGACATTATTTGTTGTCATAGACATTATTTCCACTCTTTTTTGTTGGGTTTATGGGAGAGATCATAGATCTTTAGATGAAATTGTCGATTTTTTGGCTTCTTTGAAGGCCTAAAGGTCCTTTGTGGCCTTGTGTATATTTTCAGGGTTTCACTCCCCTTTTGAGCGCTTTTATAAAATTATTCTTACTTATCAAAAAAAAATAGAAATCCCTTGTGCAAGAATATAATTCAGAATAGAATTCAATGGAAAAGTGTAAGCCAAAAACAACCTAAATTAAGTAGAACAAAAAAATTCAGATGAAAACAAACAATATTAAGTTATCTCTTGTGCAATTTTTTATTTCTGATGGTGGTGCTGGTGGCAGCAAGGAAGGTCCATTCAGGAACAGTAAGCATTATAATTTTAATCAAAAGTTATTAAGTGCAAGCAAACAACTCACCCAAGTATTCCTGAAACTTTACCACAAGCAGCACAACAATAACTCCCATCTAGCTGCATCAATTGGCCAAGATTTACAACCCCCACCTTTCCACGTTGGAGGGCGCAATCAATGTGACAAGATAACCCACAGAAGTCTCCCTGACCAGATTCAGATGTGCAAACCAACCAAAGACTAGGATCCTTGTTGTCATCAAATAAGTGACAGATGCAACAAGAGCACCTCCTGCAAAATGTGTCATCTATGGAAAGAGCAGCTTTGCATGCAGAATTTTTACAGATCCATGAATTTGAACATCCAAAATCTGGAGACTGCTCCGTAGCTGGTGGAATTCGAATGGGGTTTTCTCCCTTCCTGTGTTTCCTAGATAAAGGCTGATCCTTCGCATTTGAAGATGCTTTCCTTTGTTCCAGATTCTTCAATGTTTTCTTACTTGTCTTTGGAAGTTGTTCAGTCATTTTGCATTTAGATGAAGCTGAGTATTTCAATTCCTTATCAAAACAGGTTTGAAAAAGTTCTTTCTTTGGGCCTGATTTCAAAAACTCTTGGAGAAGCTCAGGACTTCTTGATGCATCATCTGAATGTCCATTTTTCTCTGGGGTGCTTTGCACACTTGAAGAAAGACTTCGAACACTAGAGACTGGATCAGAAAGCATAGCAAAGGAATGTGAGAAAATCTATAGCAAGGGCAGAAATACAGATATAAAGCGGAATTGAAGAACATAAATTATACAACTCATTAATTCTAGGGAGTCACAAAAAACATCCGACAGTACGACAGAAAGAGAAAAAAAACCCGAAAAGAGGCTATCTGATTTTGCAAGTAGACATTGAAAAAAAGAAGTGTGAAATTCTTCCTCACAGCTCAACTCTTATTCTTCTCTGTCCCATACGGTTTGGCAGCCTCAATTTCCACCCATTTACCTCTTTCTCAAGTGCTGACACATCTATAAAATGCCAACCATCCCAATTAGCCCTCAGGCTAGAAATTGTAGCAGATGGGCCACTAGTTACTAGACTTTCCTCATTGAGCTCACACTAATCTCTACTTTACGAAAATTGTCACTTGGATCCCATCACTGCAACCACTGTCCCATGAGCAAATCATTTCTTGTTTGCTAACACGCCCTGCTACATCAAATTTAGATGGCCTTGTACTAGCCTTAAAAAATTTACATCTAATTTTATTGGAAGTTGAATGTGACCGGACATCTCAAAAAGTTCATCTACTCTCAAGATACCCAATACCACTTTTATATGAAAAATCCTCCTCTATCCTTTTCTGTTTTATAGGCACATCCTTCTCTATTTCTCATTCTTCAGGAACATCCGAGCAATATATTAAGTTCTACATATAAGTCTAAACAGCGAGAAACAAAGGTGAAAATAACATCACTGAACCTCATCAATCGAAGATACTACATGAACGCGCACAATAAACATACACACACTGAGAGAGAGAGAGAGAGAGAGAGATCCAATACAGTCACACTGTTGAATCAGACAAAGATAAGATCAAGATTGAATTTGTTGACCATCTTCCTAGTCTATTGGAGAAGTTAACAGTCTAAATAATACGATTCTCACAAAATTAGTTTATCCGTTGAATCTGTGGCCTAATAAGATCACTCCATGCTGCCATGATTGAAAGCTAAATTGATACTATATCATGGATTCATGACACCCAGACCCTGTTTGTGCAAGAGAAAGGCAATGAGGATGATACTTCATGACACCAGACCACTAACAGTTCAAAATAACTCTCTAATCTATGTGATCAATATGAACAAGATATCATTTTTTAGCAAAGAATGATCATGACCAGATTCAACTATTGACGAGCTAATATTATATGTAGAACACATACCAAAATGGAGATCCCAGCACTAGTTCATTAGTTCCAAAAATGGGGATGGTTAGGGAGGAGAAAATAGGTAGAACAAAAAGATTGAGCATCAACTAGTATAGCGGTCACCAAATTAAGAAATATGATTGCAGACGACAATTCAAGAAATATGATAGTGATTAGCAATCCACACATGGTGAAAGCTCAGGGGAGAGAGAGAAAAAGAAGGAATTACCGCCAAGCTCTCAAGTCTTAACCTATCATCATCATCATATTCATTATCCTTGCCTTGATCCTAATTGAATATGGTTGGTGTTACAAGGGGGGACTTGTCCCACATCGGATCCGGATGGGAAGTGACATGGGTATAAATGGGTGAGTATACAGCACTACCCAACAGTTTGAGCTTTTGGGTAAATGGGCAGGCACCCATCCGTTACAGTTGGTATTAAAGCCGGACCCAATCCTTAATCCGGTGTCATGCCAAGCGTCTGGTCCGGAGGGCGTCTGGGTCTTCACCCCCAGTAGGCAGGGTGGTCCGACCGCAACGAGGGCGTTGCGTGGGTTCGAGTGGGAGAGAATGTTACAAGGGGAGACTTGTCCCATATCGGATCCGGATGGAAAATGACATGGGTATAAATGGATGGGTATGCAATACTATCCAACAGCTTGAACTTTTGGGTAAATGGACAAGCGCCCACCCGTTATAGTTGTCCACATGATTTTCTTGTTTCATTCTTTCCTTTAGGGTATTCTTTTATTACTTTTCACATGTTAATTATGATCAGTCTCTTTGCCTCTTACCTTTTATTTTCTAGTAAATTAACCTATCCTCCATGAGGTTTGTCCAAATTACTCATGGATGAAACCATTTGAATACACTCTCTAACACCCTCTGTCAGAATTAATTCCGTTATTTCAATTGATGGAAGCTATGAAAGTACCGTTTTGCCCTCACTAAAATCTTTTGAAATGCTTATGCATTGGCTGATGTCATCAACAAAAAGACAAATTACCCTTTTGCCCTTCTAAACCTAAAGCTTCTAAAATGACTTTTTGTTACCCACAATCAGTTTTCTTTCCCTCTCTCTCTCTCTCTATAAATATATATTTGTATTTGTGTATTGTGTGTCTGCTCTACTGCTGCTACTACTTGTACATCTACACGAAACCATCTCAAGGGCAATTCAAATTCCTCCTCTACCGTCAAATCTAGGGCTGCAACTCGGGCGGGTTAAAGGTATAGCTTGAGCCCAACTTAACATATGAAATGTTCAATCCAAGTCCAACTCTAACCCTACCTTCAACCTAACTAATCAATCCAAGCCAAACCCATCTTTCTACTTTTAAACTCGGGTTTGCAATTCGAGCTTAGATTTCGGGTTAATTGTTACCCCTATGGCCATTCATGTGATCTTGAATTATTTTCCGACTAAAAACTCTTAAACAAAAAATAAATAAATAAAAACTTATTGCAAATTTTTAATAAATTACAAGCAAAATCTAAAAAAAATTAATTTTCATACATGTTAATATACAATAAATTAAGATTTAACAAAGTTGAAATGAAAAAATTTGATCATAATTTGAATATTATATATAATGCATTTCAATATATATATATATATATATATATATATATATATAATATTAGAATTCGTGTTCGGGATGGGCTCGGGTTGCCCAACCCAAGTTGCACCCCTAGTCAAAGCCAACAAAATGCTGGATTTAGAAAGCTCGATTTAGACAATCTAGATATATATATATATATATATATATATATAATATTAGAATTCGTGTTCGGGATGGGCTCGGGTTGCCCAACCCAAGTTGCACCCCTAGTCAAAGCCAACAAAATGCTGGATTTAGAAAGCTCGATTTAGACAATCTAGAAAGCTTAACACCATAGACAGTTGTTGTTTGACGTTGAATGTGCCATCATTGAAGAGACGTTTAGAGACCGTTGAAGGTATCATGATCGTGAGTTTCACTATGAAGGGTTTTAGGTATGAGAGAGAGAGGTTTTAGGGTTGAAGAATCGTTTAACTTATTGGTGATTTAGGTAAGAGAGGGTTTAGGGTTGTCATCGTTCAATTTGAAGAATCGTTGAAAGTATCTTCTCAACTTTTTCTCTTTCCTTCAACTCCAAATCCTTCCGAGTCTATAGATCTTCAAGTAGCAAAAGCTTCAATGATGACCAACTAGGAAAAAAAAAAAAGCTTCAATGATGACTATGGGTTGGGTTGTCCTGATTTTGGGTGGGTCAATGACCTTCTGACTTAAAATGGTTGATGAGCATGGTGATGATTGATTGAAGAGAGCATGACAAGGATGTGTATATGAGAGGCTCTCATATCATCTTTTTCTTGTGAATTTGAACTAGTTGAGAGAGATATGGGAGTTGTTTGATGTATTGATTTATCTTCACATGTTTCTTCACATTTTCAAAAGAAATTAATCATCTTGACAACCTCAGCAGAAACAAAGTGTAAACTCTTAACGGTTGGAAATATAGTTTTGTTAGCTGAAAAAGGGATTATTTTTTCCAAGTTCCATCCGAGGCTAAATGGATGTAACTTTTTTTACGAGAATTTTGTTTGGTTGTTCGTTAAGATTTGGTCTATTCAACGACGGAGAAAACAAAAGAGCGATAGAGCTAAGAGAGAGATTTCTAAAAATGAGAGAGAGAGAGAGAGGGAGAGAGAGAGAGAAGAGACGGATTTCTGAAAACGAGAGAGGGGGGAGAAAACCAGAGTGGGTTATGCAGATATCAGCAAAGGATAGTCTTGTCTAAATAATATTGGTTGAATTTGTCATTTGGTATACTAAGAGGACCATTTTACCCCAGTTAAGAATAATTTCGGCCTTTAAAAATTATTCCACTGATAGACTTAACCCCTGATTGACGCCGGGGGTGGTCGGAGTAATTGTGCTAAACCTTAAGGAAGGTTGACCATACTTTTTCAAATAGTTTCGTCCGTGGGTAATTTGGACAAACCTCAGGGAGCTCAGGGTAATTTACCCTTTCTTTTAACTAATCTTTCTTTTCTTATTGCTGCATTTTTGTTCAACGTAATTGAGGCTGTTCAAACAGGCATTAGGCCAACTAAGAGTATCATTTTATAATTCTACTGATTCTTCTTTTCAAAAACATTTGCCCAAAGTTTTGCCAAATTTAAATAAAGAACCCAGAAGAGCAAGGAACAAGCACATGTGTGATCAACTAAATGCAACCACTGACTGTAAGTCAATAACATCTTGCATATATCATCACTATTGATTATAAGATTATTATGGCTGGATGGTCTCAGATAAAGAAAGTCGAACGAGTATTCAATTTTCAATTGCTTAGCACTTGATGAGGAGCAACATTATAAAAGATTTTTGCATATTTTCAGAAACTTTCTAAGCATACGAGTTTTTACCACCGAATTCGAAGCACTCTCTGCAATTGGCTAAGTTCGGGTATGTTATATCAGGGTTTTGTAACTGAAAATTATAGCACTCAATGGACTATGGTACTAAGAATGTGTTGCAAACATGGATAGTAGAGTCCACCTTGCTATTGGGTTCTTGAATTAAATTTCTGCATCAATAACACAATTCAAGTGAAAAGAAAAAGTTTTAAGAACATATAAAAAAATTAACATAATGTGACTGAGACATGAGAATGAGAAATGCATCCTACCCTAGATGTACTTTGTTGCACTAGTAATAAAATTTTCTTTGATACCAAGAAATAGGGGATAAACTAACAGAATAAATTACTGAATCAAAAGGGGTAGCCCCTGAAAAAATGTTTCTTTTGCTTCACCATGGTTTTGGCCAGAATGGTTATTTATCAAAATCCTATTTGTTAAGAGCAACCCAACATAATATAATCCGCTAATCCAGCAGATTTTCCAGTTAGTAATCTGAAATTCAGAATTACGTAAGATATCAGATATCCACATCAATGATCTTGAAACCTATAAAATGAATGAGACATCGAAATAGAACTCAAGACCATACCAAAGCAATTTATTTCTTAAAATCGAACCAATCAAGAACTAAACAGATATCAGATCATCTAAAGTAGTTTGAAAGCTATAAACTGAATGAGACATTGAAACAGAACTCAAGATTATAACAGAGCAATTTATTTCTTAAAATCAAACCAATCAAGAACTAAACAGATATCAGATCATCTAAAGTAGTTTGAAACCCAAAAAATAAATGAGACATGAAATAGAACTCAAGATCATAACAGAGCAATTTATTTCTTAAAATCAAACCAATCAAGAACTAAACAGATACCAGATCATCTAAAATAGCATTGTAAAAGAAATTTTTAATTGAATTAAAAGTTAAACAATGATCAGAGTTTAATAAAAAAAAAATTCCCAAAGAAATGACAGAGAGATCAGATCTTACTATCAAAAGCAGAGAATCTACAAAAAAACAGAATATGTGAAGAACCTCTGCAACAGACCAGAAACAAGGAAAACGAAAAGTTAAATTTTTAATGAAGAACAGCTAATGACAACACATCCTTACTCCAAATGGAATGGAAAAAGAGCACGGGAGAAAATTAATTGCAAGGAACCAATGCCGAAGGGGTGTGGTGGACTGGTGCAGATGGACAGCCACAACAAAGAGATCGGCACTGCTAGGGTTCAGAGAGAACCCTTCAGAATAGCTACTCTCTATCTCGTAGCGACTTTATATACATAGATAATTCAGTCATCGGATGGTAATTTTGTTTTTCAATAGGTTATGGTAAAAATAGAATTAGAATGTAGATTAAATCTCTAGATTAAACTCCATTACGGATGCTAACAATTTGGAATCGGATCGGGTCAACACCCAATCCACTAAAAAAGGCTTTTAATGATGACACAATGACCCCTACCCCTTGAAAGATGCCTAATGCCATCTTTTAAAGATATTTTATCTGTGAGGGCATGCCTTCGGACTTCACAGTATATCCTAATCAAGAAAAACATAACGTGAAAACATGAACCACCCTTTATGACTTGAATGTATTTATGAAGGAACGTGATCGAACACTTGTAGTTAATTTATCTGAGAAGAGAAGACTCATAATTTATTATACTACTATAAACAATTATAAGCTACGTATAAAGATGTGCCATGGGCCTTCATTTAGATGTTCACCAAAATTCTATATTACTTGATTACAATTCTCTTTTATTATTTATTTTCCTAAAAAGAAGAAAACTAGAGGAGGAAGCAAAAAAAAAAACTTATTGCTGAATTTAGTATTTTAAAAGAAAATTACCACAAAAAATATTCTTAATAAATTTGTAAGGTGATTCTCTTCAAAGCTTCTATTGTAGCCATAATTAGAGACATGCAAAAACATACATGGTAAAATTAAAATGCCACATATTAATGATGTGTAACAAGTCCCAAAGATAGAGAAAATTCCACATTATGTGACAAGTTTCACACAAGCCTAGAAGACGTTCCCCCATCTCTTTTCATTAATGATTTGCAAATGTTAGTCACAGATTTTTTTTAATGGATTGCATATAAATTTCCATATGGTTCCTCACACTATTTTTTACTACATTTTTATCCATCCATATATAGTTCCTCACACATTTTCAACTAACCTGGCATAGTGGTTTCCAACTCATAGCCAAATTTAACCTACCATAACAAACTTGTAGCATTTCATCACTAAACTTCTAAATATATAATTAATTCAATAACAAAAGCTTTATAATTATGAAGGAAGTAATTCCCAAGGAAAAGGCATAAAGGAATTAATCCCATGCTAATACTGTAATTATATTGCTATTTTTAGTGGAGGGAGGTGTCAAGAACGCTCGAGTTTAAAAAAGAAGATTCACTAGATTGATTGGCATTCATTAATTTATCAACGTCTAGAGGTAAGGATAGATCAATGCAACTAACCACTGGAGTATTTAATTGATCAATGTTTAGACGTAAATTTGACGCTAGAGCTTATATTGCTGCTTTGGAGCAACAGGGGCGCCTTATTTATCAATGTCAGCTGTTTAATGGAAACCCCCTAATTGATCATTGTAGAGGAAATAAGATTGATCAATGACGCTAGACCACCTGATTGATTAGCATTGAGAGGTAAACAAAATTGATCAAAGCAATAGAGGCAACTGATTGATCAACATGGATTACTAAAATTGAATTTTTTTCTATTTACATTGCTATTCCTCCTTTGTTTCATCATTTTATAAATATTGAACTTTTCAAGACCCTCTTACCTCTTCTAGATGATGTGTAACTAGATTTAGTTAATCCAAATTCCACATTTTCATCTGGAAAGTAACTGAAAATTTGCAAGGACATTAACCGTTAAAGAATAAAAGGAAGTAGATGTAATTAAGGTTGTGTATGGCTGGTCCTGGTTATTATGGTTTTATAGTGATGGAGGTAGGTCAAGAGGTGAATCAAACGATGGTTTTGGTGGTGATGGGTAGAGTCCACTGGTGGTGATGGTGCTGTTGGATAGTTATAATCTTGTATAGTTGTATATCAGAAATTTCTATAGGATTTGATTAGGTGGCTCTATTACATCATTGGATGCATGAACTGTGCCCGAGTTGTTTCTAGCTGTTGGACGTCCATAAATCCCAACACTCAAGATACAGAGACTTGCCTTGAAATGCGTCCAAAAGTATTGTATGAATACATGGACACATCTTACACGTGCAAATATGGTATATTTATGTATAGACCTGAGATTATTATTATTTGAGGATATATTTCAATATAATTTAAATGGGATGCAATGGAAAAAAAGAAAAGAAAAGAAAGAAGTGTCATCTCCATGTGAGAATTAGGAAAACATTTCCTGCTATATACTGTAAATTCTTCCTCCTCCATCATCACATGTGGGAGATGGCCATGACTGATTTGGGTTTGTATGTTGTACATGTATCCATACTCAAAACCATGTTGCGCTGTGTCAACAAGGGTGCCTTGGGAGAACTGGAGAATCATGTAGAAAAGGTGGTGGTGGCTATAGGAAGAGTGGAGGTCACTACGGTGTTTACTGATGGATTGGGAAGTTAGTTGTGGTTCAGATTCTTAGAGAGCAAGAAACAAGGGAAAGGAGAAAGTGAAGGTGTTAAGTCACAAGGGCAAAGTTGTAATTCAATATTTTCTGTAAACAGCATCCATCAGTTCATATTGAGGAAAATGGGGTCGCTTTGATGAACTTTTTGGTAGAATGGGTCATAGTCCATAGTAAATCCATGTACTTTACCCTTAGAAAAGATCAATGCGCTTTTCCTAGTGCAAAGCAAAAGGCCGTTCTCTTCTGTCAACAAGTTCTTGGATATCTTATTACAAAACTAAGGATGGGGAATTTTACTGTTAACACTTCATAGTAAATTAAATGAAAAACGAAAGAGTAAATGATGTCACAAGTGGAAAATTTTATGTTGAATAAGTACTCTTCCCATAATTATAAATGTAACTCAAAAAAAAAAAAAATGATGTATGTACGAAAAATAACTTGCATCAGATAATGGTTACACAAACAAAATAACACAAGGAGCAGTATATCTCCCTTAGAAGGCTTACTTGAAAGTAGAATTATGGCAGGAAAAATCATTTTTATCAATTTTCACACTCAATTACATCATTACTTTAGACAGTACCCGCAAATAAGGAAATTTCATTTATCGAATTAAATACTGATCTGCATGCTTATCAATTCTCTCTATTCCATTTTGACTTTTGCTATTCAAGTAGCAACGGTGAGTCATGGAGAAGCGGCACAAAGACAGAATAAGTGACAGCCAAAAGAACAACCAATAATAGAAAATTTGGAATATCAAAATCTTACCTTTACTAAGGGATTTATCTTCCAACTCCATGCTTTGGAAATTATATAAGAAATTCCAAGCAACCCTCCCTGTGACAATCAGGGAAAATAATACATTCAAATTAGTATACAACAGTATTGAATATAAAAGAAAATATGCCAATGCTCCAGTATTTTTGTGCAAACAAATAAATTCCATAAAGGCTTCATTTTTAAAATTTTAAACTAATATCAGCTTTATCAGTGCATAAAGTTCGGCTTGATTCGATATAAAGGATAAACCGGAACCAATCCGATCCTAAAGTTTCCTTGAAATTTGGAAACCCCTAAACTGAACCAAATCTGAACCTAACCAACAGAAGTTACAGAACCGCCTAAACTGAACCAAATCTGAACCGCAAAAGAACATTTATTATCAGCTAGGTTTCATGGATTAACCTTGCCAAAATTTACATTCAAAATCAAATATAAAAATACAAATCTTTATACAACACATCATCAATAACGGAATCATAACCAAATCAAAAGAAAAAAAAAAAAAAAAATTTGAAGAAACAGTACATGACATGCACCATTTATTATCAATAATTAGTTATCAAGGCAGAAGAACTATAAACACTATATAATGATATAAGATTGAATGAAAAATGAGGGGTTAAATTTTATGTTTAAAATAAGTAATATATATAACTTTGATTCATTGCAAGGCAAGTCTAGCAAAAACTGCTGCCAAACAATCAAATGAAAATATAAATATGTATAAATAGCATGGTTCAGATTGATTTTGTTTTGTGGCCTCTAAATCGTAAATCAAACAATCCTAATTGAAGCATATCATATTGGGTTGTTCATCTATGTTAGCTGTAGGTGGCTAGACCTAGTCTGGGTGGGCTACAACTATACCTACACAGGGAAACACCAGCTACACCTGCGTTTGGTGGCAACAACATAGGCTAGAGCTAACACTTATTTTTGATATTATGTGCGTTTGCTTAATTGTTAATGATTTAGTTTTTTGGGTGCCTATAAAAAATAGTCATATATGTATCAGAAAGTTTCAAGTTCTTGATTGAATGTTATTGAGATTGATTTTTCTTCTCCCTTCTTCTTTTCTGCCTCTAATTCTAATCTCTAATTTCTCTTCTTAATCTATTCTACCCATTCACTAGCAATCATGCATTACTAGCGGTTCCACTATTTTTGGAACCAAGAGCCAATCGTTGACCTCCTGATACCAAACCATATGGTTTGGAATAGTTCAAATTGAATTGATGGAATGGATCCATGTGCGGCCATATACTGCATTATGCTTGATAATTTAATATACTCTTGTAAAGGGCTTGCGGAAGGCAAAATGATTTTTCCACATTGCAGCTATCAAACTTCACAAAAGGAGTTCAAAAATGGTTTAAGTTATAATAGAGAACTATGGATAGACAATTGAAACTTCCCAACAAAAGGGTAGCATGATTTATTGAGATTCGATATCTTACAGTCATTAAAATTTACTTTCTATATAACATGCATGTTCCCACAACAATACACCAACCGTATACGGAAATATTAGGTTTTGTAAATAAATTAATTGATAAAAATATTTAGATACTCTAAAGGATTTAAAAAATGGTTATCCATAAAAGACGCAATATTATTGAAAACCTATAAATAGATGTCAAAATGTAAAACATAATAATTTGTGCCAAAAAGGAGGGAAAGGGGACTTATTGGTCAAGGCATGCACTAATGCGCAAACAACTTAGGAATCTATTGCATCCCTCTGAGCTTATTTCTAATCGCTAGCAACAAGAATTGAACCGTTAACCCCACCAAAAATTATTAGATGGCATGTCAATACTTTTCTAATGTGATGTAACAATGTAGCTTGCACCTCTCCAAAGTCACATCCCCAGTACAACAAGTGAAAGGCACCAGAATGAGTGTCCACTTGCAATGATTTGGTTGAAGAGCAAATTTTCATTGCCTTACTAAACCACCTCCCACACCTCACCCCCACCCCCCCCCCCCCCCCCCCCCCCGGGGGCCACCACACACACAACTTTTAAAGGGGAGAAAAAACAGAGAGCAAAAGGAAAAAATAATAATAATAATAATACAAAGTCAATACCACCTACAAAGGTAAAAAAAAAATGATGGCATAGATTAACTAGACTACATGAGTAAGTGTAATATTAAAATAACCAAAGGGTCTCACGTGGCTCAACCAATGTAGCATGTTGCCATTGAGTCTCTCCTTGCATACAAGCCCATCTCTTATTGATCCAAATCACAAAATCTGAAAAGGGTCATTATCCAGTGTGGTCTCCACTAATCGAGGACGCAGAGAGGAGTGGATTGCATCGAACTTACTTGAATGAAGTGGCTCGTGCTTTATAGCCCGAGCATTTTACCAGTGCACCAAGCAAATGACCCTTTAACAAAGAGATATGTTAGCAAAAGGCAACATAGAACAAAATATAAGAAAATTTACAATATAGAGTTGAGAAAATTCTGTTTCCAATCACAATACAAAACAAGAGGCACATACATTTAAAAAAAAATAATAATAACTAAAATGAATAGTTCAACATATGATCGAAGAAATGGCATGTCATCATTGAAGCTCCACTTGTGTATGAAGCTTGTATCTTTTATTGGTCCTCCTTCACCAAGGCCTCATAGAGCTCCAACACATGAAGTTACAAAAAAAATTGTTCACAAGAAATTTGGGGGGAAAAAAAATCTGTACAAATACACAAATTTTAACATGACTGATTTATCATAAAAATGGATGGCCACAAGTGAAAGAATTTTGCAGTCTTTGAGTTTGTACATGCATCATGTTATTTTCATTCACAACGGCCCAGAACAACTCTAATTTTAATGTAAAGAAAAAATTTCTTCCCAATCAATGTGAAACAAGAGAAAAGGCAGTCACCCAAAAAAATTATAACAAATATGAATGATTTAACATAAAATTGATGAGACATAAATTAAAGAAATCGACATAAACTAAGTAAATTTTGGTTTTTTGGTAATAATACAATATAATTACGACAAACTTTTCTTCCTTCACCCACCCAGTCCTTCCTCCGAAGCCAATACAACATATGCATTGGGTGCTCATTTAGTTACTGAAGCGTCTCGGAAACAACTAATCTAAGCAGATGTCAAACGAACATCATACATGTTCATTTTGCATTTTTAGCCGTTATTTACATAGTATTGCCCGTACATTGTGCAAATTTAACAATGAAATTTTGTCAATGCAACTTACAAACTGATGGGGTGATCATAAAAGTTTCTAAATTGGGGCAAAGGACATATATACACATAACATAAAATTTAAGGATAAAATATAGTAAAATTCAAAGGATAACGAATGAAAAAGAAGATTAACCTATAACGTGAAGAAAATAACGGATCTGAGCACGTAAAGAGCCAATATATTACAATATAACAAACATAAGCAGATATGTATATACATATATACACACACAAGTATAAACATTGAATAGAGAGAGAACAACATTATACGTACCTCCGAAGAATGTGAGGAGGGAGAGGAATCTAGGGTTTTGATGGAGCGAACGACGAAGGGTTTTTGTTTGGAGAGCAATGAATCTCTCTGAAGGAAACTTAGTTGGTTAGTTGGTTTATGAATTTACAAAATTGTTCCAAATCGTCGTGTTCACGCACGTTTTGGAGCTGAAACCATGGCGGAGCCACGCGCTGGCTGAGGCGCGTCACTGCAGCTCACACTGTTGGAAAAGGGCAGTAGTTGATGCTGATTCCAAAAGTACACGCAACACTTTACGTCTTCTAATTGGAGCGTGTCCTCTAAGTACACCAATAGAGTGTGAAGTTAAAACTTCACTCATATTCTGTTTATTTTTCATTTATCCTTATTAACTGCGGGTAACAATGGTGCTATATGGAACACAATCAAATCTAGTCCCTCTTAAATTGTAATGAAATGTTCTGATTTGGGAGATATACTCTAATCCTCCCGATTTGAAACTTGTTAGTATCTCATTTTGTCATTAGCTAAGAGTTGTAATTCTTCACTTAACTGATTTTAGCTCACACGGTGTGAATATTAATATATAAAGTGTTAGAATTTACTACACTACTAAAGGCAAATATTTTTTTAAAAAAAGTTAACACCATGCATGATGGGTGGTGAAGACCCGCACTGATTACCATCGGGTCTTTTCTTGTAGTTAGTGTAGTTATAAGTTTTTATTTTTTTCTTTTTTATTTGTTTTTGGATTCCTTCTTCTATAAATTTCTGAAAGTGGAAAGCGAAAAGTGAAAAGTACGCTCAATGAAAGTAATAAAAAGGTCAATCCTCCATTAAAAAAAAAAAAAATTAAAGTAGTAAGAATTATTAGCTATGGAATCAAATGGCAGCACATGTTCAACCGAGACCGACCAAACTTTGAACATTTTTAATTTGCTAGGAATGGGTCAATGAAACAGAAAGGTCAAATAAAAGTGTGTTTTGAACATTCTCACACGCTTTTGTTGAACTTCACGCGCCTAATGGATAATCGCCAATTTTGTTAGTTGCCAAATTGGAGAAGGTCGTATTTTGGCAGCATATAGGTCAACCAATGAAGGTGTGGTGAAGAATTGGTGAATAATGTAATGATGGTATATACCAAGTAATGCCATTGTATACAGATCAGTTGGTACATTCGCTGGCGCAGGTTGGCGAGAATTTATGACAAAAACTGAGTCGCTGTCATTTCTCATGGCTGATCCACCTTAATACCATTCTGCAAAAGTACAGCTTTCTGCCGTCCAGGTTTTCAACCACTATTACAACAACATTGATTTAGATTAGTCTCTACCTCTCTAATTTTCTTATTTATCACCGCATCAACTGTAAATAAGAATAGCTTACCTTTTAACAACCAAAAAAAAAAAACTGTAAATAAGAATGACTAATGACAACAATGGCAGTTTTAAATGGGTGTACCTTTTCCTGTTCCGTAGTAGTTTAAAAATCCTATTCCCTTTAACTTTTTTACCCCCTCAAACACCCACCCGCCCCGTTCCAGAATTTCTCCCTTTTTTTAGTTTTTTTCCCTCGAATACAATTATATAACAGTTAAAAATTTTCATAAAAAATGAACAATTAATAATTCAACATATTCCTAAGCTCTGCCGCTCTCTAGGACAACTGAAAAAGTGAGTGAATATAACCTAAAATTTCTAAAACTAATTATATTTACTAATAAAATAAGGATAACTTAACAATTTACCTACCTAAACGAACGGGTGACATCCCTACCCTGAACTCGCGCGAGTTTTCATTAATAAAAACTATCCCCACCCAACTAAATTAAATAGTCCTTGAAAACTGTTATAAACGGGATGGGATGGAGCGGGTACCCATCCTCACGGGACAAATTGCCATCTCTACCAATGAGTGGGCAAGTCTTGTCCTACTCTCTACTTTTAATAAAATGACATTGTTGTCAGTAATTTCCAATATGAAAAACTATTACTTTAAAACAAAAACAAAAAGTAAAGTACATTTATCAAATAGTGAAGTGCAGTCACATTACAATTCAGATTAAAGGAAAAAACTTCAAAAGAAAATCTGGAAATTTTACTACAATAACACTATGCATCCATCTCAAAAAGTGACACAGCATGCAGAAATAGCTTGACATACGTACAATGGAAACAAATCTGAAAACAATATATAAATCATATAAAATGATAAACATTGATACAGGCATTCTGCCTTGATGTTTCTTTCGGAAATTCATTCTGCCTTAATGTCCAGATAACATAAACCACTAATAATTCATTAAACATGCTAAGTAATTCCTCTCTTAACTTATCAGTGGAAATTATTGCATTATCCATCGATGCAACCGATGAAAACCTGCAAGGAAAGGAAAAGATTTAAGTTTGCAGCTATTTCTTTCAAACCACCAAGGACAATAATTTCATACCCAAATACGATAAACAAATTCAAGACAACAGAGCCAAACAAACCATCCCTTATATAACTTAGATATTCTGTAATAGTTTCATATATAAATGAAACAGAACTATCCTATATATTTCTAGGTAAGTGAATTACTGACATTCTACTTTCAAATGCTGAATTACATCGTAACACCAGCTATTGACCTTTTTCAATACAATTTGAAGCTTAATAGGATGTTGAATGTTCAAAATCTAGAAATTTATTATTCTAAGAGCCATAGCTTTCTTCACTGCAACATTTAAACCAGAGACCATCATAGGTGACCATTGATCCAGAATGTTTGGTAAAGAATTAAAGATCACCGAATTCAGGATTTGTAAGCCAAAATATTGAATCTGGAAAGGTTAACTTGACAGTCCACAGAGTTTAATTGCTCTGATGTTGTAGATTCACAAATTGTGCAACCATACCATCTATGAATAAGTTAAATCAGAAAACATTTAAAATCAACTCTCCTTCTCAAGCAGGATAAGAATCCAAACAATTCCATAAATAAAGAATGATTCATATTAAATAATTCATATCATACAAAAAGACATACTCCATCCACACAAGAAAATGAAAACCATTACAGCTAAATATGACTTCTGTTTATTTACTACTACGAATACGTTTTGACAATGAAATAACTAAACCTAAGTAATAACACAAAAAGGACTTAACATTTACATTGACATCAAACAAGAACCGTACAAAATAAAAAAAGCTTAATTAATACCCACCAACAATAATAAACCTACACTCACAACCTTGGTTTAAGCTTACAAATAAATGAAAACCCTAAAAACCCATTGAACTCGTCAAAAATTCAATAATTTAGCATATGACACCACATTTTAGCTGGCAACACCATGCCTATCCCATTAATCCAGACTGCCATCAGAAGAAAGAAAAAAAAAATTTCCATTGGTTTCATCGACAATCTACAGCTCATAATCTAGAAAATGACATCCACCGTCCCTGAAAAGTTGACTTATTCAACTGTAGTTTAATTAAAACAATAATTTTACTTCAAATGCCGCAATTGCACACACATTTAAAAGGAAAAATAAACTAGGATCGTAGGAACATCTGAAACACAATACTTAAAATCTTTCTAGAACAGATCATATACAAAAAGGTATGCACATTTATTCCTCGACCATCTCCTCCTAAGTCTAACATGAAACACTGAATATAATCTACAGCTCAGAATCTAGAATATGACATTCAGCGTCCCTGAAAAGTTGCTTTGCAAAAAAGTAGTTTATTCAACTGTAATTTGATTAAAACAACAATTTTACTTCAAATGCTGCAATTACATACACATTAAAAAGGAAAAATAAACTATGATAGTAGGAACGGAAGATACTATGATTCCATTGAATGTATGGTTAGTTCACAATACTTGAATATTTTTACAACATCCTATGCACATATATACACGAAGCATCGACGAAAAATGTTCAATACTCAAAAGCCAATTACATATATGTGAGTGCAAATTCATATAAATACACATATATAGCTCTAAATTTTAAAAATCGAACCTTTGTAACATGTTAATAGGTTAGGATGCAGAGTGCTTGCCCTCGCAGGGAGGACTCTCGTCGAAATTCTTGGAGGGGTACTTGGCGGTAACCATTCCGACCTCGAAGACCAAATCCTCGCCGGTCGATTTAATCCCGGTGATGGACCACCAACTGAAGAAAGCCCTAACCCTAATTCCGTCGAGATCGGCGATGTGCCCCTCCACAATCTTGCCAGTGATTTTCTTAGAGTACGTGGCCAAGTAGTTGTCCGGAGGGAGCGTGACCTTGCACGTGTCACCGAGGTGGACGAAGAAGTCGCCGGAGGTCCGGTTAACAGTGTATGTGAGGACGTTGGTGGGGAGTAATCCGATGGGGAAGCCGTACTTGGTAAGCTCCGTGTGGGCGGCTGATGGCGATGAACTAGAATTAGGGTTAGGGTTTGAATAGCAGAGTGGTAAGAGGAGGAAGAAAGAGAGAGAAACAAGGAAGAAAAGATTGGCCATTGTGTATAAGTTTCAGAGAGAGAGAGAGAGACAAAAGAAAGAGATTTTTTTTTTCCCCCTGAGAGAAGAAGGAGATTAGAGCTGCTGGTGAAGGTTGATAAGTTTCAGATGGAGAAAAAAGAGAAGCAATGGACGAACGGACGGACGGACCGATGGACCGATTAGTATATTTTAGTGTGGAGCCGGGCAACTATTCAACTTGACAATGCATACAATACGGTGGATTGTCGTGGAACAATCTACGACACCAAGCTTTGATTGTGACACGTGGAGGTTTGACCAAGAGGCATTGAAGCTTTCATGGTTGACTGCTGGACACGTCTCTCCACTGTAAAAAGTCTTAATTGCCCCTGTTGGAGTGTTAGTGTATTAACATAAAGAAAGTACACAAATTAGTACAAATTTTAAATTATTTTTTTTGGATTTTAAATTTAAATAATCTTTTCGGTACTTTCAAATATACCATAAGAATATTTTAGACGTGATTTTACATTTAATGCAGAATTCAAATTTGAATAATTGATTAGGTATTTTTAAATATATCATAAGAGTATTTCAATCATGACTTCACATTCAATATAGATTTTTGTTAAAAAAAAAAAAAAATTAACACGTATTAAAACAAATTGAGAGATTATATAATGACGATAGTATTGTACTTTCTCACAATGTGAGAGATATTCATTTATTTGTGCTGGTGTGTAAAAGTGGCCCTGTTCTGGGCCCAGTCCAATGGAAGAGAGTACAAATTGAGAAAAAAAAATAATATATATATACGGAAAAAGGTTCAAATTGAGGATATTTCAATAACTGTTCAGTTTTTTAGAAGGATCGAGTCCTGTGGTACTCACGAAAATTTTAAAATAAAAAAAAATTTAAAGTTAAGATCTTTATAGGAGCAAAGTGGTGCCTAAATTTCTTGCCGTGATAGCAACAAGTGGGGAAGATATAAATGTTTAATTGTTTATATACTTAATGGCTCAGTAACCACAAGAAGAGCCCCCACCTCAGTGTTTTCAAGTGTTCTAGCCCAAACAAATGAATGCATTATAATTTTTATTTTTTCAAATTTATACCAAGTGGTAAATTTGTGGACCTAAGAGCATCTCCAATGCAATACTAAAAGGACTGCCATTTCTAAAATATAGCAAGGGAACTTTAAAAGGGACTCTCCAATGTAATGCTAAAAGGGCTGTCAATTTTTTACTTTCCAAAACTTTTGCCAATTGTAGCACAAGAAATAGCTACTGCTATTTCAGAGAGAGAGAGGGGGGCAGGGGTTCAGATTTGGCATATATATATATATTTAAAAAAGATCATAAAAAATTTCACCAAAGGATTTAGTTTGCAAAACAAGAATTACAGACCTTGATTAAAAAAAGTAAACAAAAATCGAACCTCTTTCTCAATGGGTTTGGTGAAGAGTTTCTCGGCCTGAACAGCTGGTACATCGCAACGGTAGTTGCATCATACCAGAACACAGCCTTTGATGTCAAGAAGGAAGAGAGCAGAGGCCGCTCCTGCCATGGATTAGTTGATTTAGAAAAAAATTACAGAGAATTACAAAGTTGATTAGTTGATTTAGAAAAAAAATTTAAATCAAAACCCATACATACAAGTTAGCAGTTGCACAGAGAGAGAGAGAGAGAGAGAGAGAGAGAGGGGGAGGGGCAAGCTTGAGAGTTGTGAGCCAACAAGTAAAGCTTGCCAACGGTGAACCCAAACTGAAATAGCGAGAGAGGGGGGGCAATTTCAGAGTTGAGAATGATAATAGAGATGGAGGCGATTGGGGAGGTGAAATGATTTGCCCTAAATATATATATATTTTAAATAATAATATAATCAAATATATATAGTTTTCTTTTTTGACCAAATATTTTAGATTTTTGCTTCTTTTTAATTAGGTTTAGTTTTAGTTTCATTCTAATGTTTACAACTTGACTTGGAATGTGCCTAATATTAATATTACTATGCAAATATGAATGATGAGAATGGTAGTTGAAAAAGAATGGTGGTTATGTCAAAAAATAGCATTTTGTATTAAATGCATCATTGGAGAAGAATTGGTAAAATGTAGCATTTTGACACTGTAACACCTGTCAAAATATAAATTTAGTATATAAAAATGACATTTAGTATTGGAGATGGTCTAAACAAAACAAAATAACTATCCTCCAAACATGCTTCCGGTGTTATTATTGCAATATTAAGAGTTTCGCAACAAAATAGCACAACGACAAACGACGCCTTAACATTTCCACAGTACAGTACAGTACAGTATATACATATTCCTTAAAAAAATGAGGGAACCATTAATGACAAGAAGACAAATGCCAAATGATTGTTTGAGCATTACAAAACACTTGGGCTAACTGTTGAATGAGCCAAGTGTTTTCAGATGCTTCCTCCCTTTCTCTTCAAATGGAAATCTGGAGGAGACCATAAGATTGGAACTTGTCATGTACATGGTAATGGTATGTATTATGGAACTGGAAGCATATGAATGCTTTCAATTCTTAATTTGTGGGGATGGATTGATGGAATGGATTGAAGAGTTGCAGTGAGATTATATCAGCAGCGAGAGATCTTCCAAAGCTCCGCACTTTTAACTTTCGAAACACTCTCCAACACTTCGAAAGGAACAATGTCTCCAATAATAACCACCATCTTGGTTTCCAGGTCCACTTGGTAGGATGTCACTCCTGTATGCAGAGAGAGTGGGTCAGTAATATATTATTATGCCATTTATATATGCATGCACATATATATATATATATATATATATGATTGCATACATCTGGTCTTCCCTAGACAAATCGTGAATGGCCAGAGTCTCGTACACTAGACTAGTTTTTATTTTATTTTAAAAATGCTGTGAAAAATCTTATGCTTATTTTGTGGTGACTACTAATCTAATAGCTATATATTAGCAATCTTTTGAAAGTAAATACTAAAGGTTATTTATTTCTCATACCTTCAATCTTTGAGATGTGTTTCTCCACTTTTCTGGCACATCCATTGCAGTGCATGGATACCCTTAGCACCACCATCTGCGTGATGAACTTAACAATTAAGCAATATGAACTAGTAAAAAACAATGATCTCTAAACTCAAGGGAGCCAACTCGAACTCAGACAGAATAATGATCAAATAGACAGATCATTAAAATCAATATTTCTGATTTATTCTCGATTTTTAGTCTGCTTGCCAAAATCTCAAGTTATATATATCAGACATGTCAGTTATAATTACTAGGTATAAACTATAAAGGGAATTTCATTTTTTGTGTTCCTTAATGGTTTTGATCACAAAAATATAGGTTCCAAAGATATTGCCTTCATTTTCTCAGGAACCAAACAGATATTTGCTAGAAAGAAAAAAAGAAGGAAACATTAGAGAGATGATACGATTAGAGTTGAGACAGAAATAACCTCACCTTGGGCTTTAGTTGAAAAGCCAGGGTCTGGGGTTCAGCAACAACATCCTTCAATCTCACCAACTGACCACCTTCACTTGCAACCAGTGGCTCTCTCTCAAACTCATCTTGGTTTCCCAAGTTACTGATGCAGAAACAAGAACTTGAGCCAGAAGAGAGACAAAAAGAGTCCAACACCCTCCCAAAACTCAGCTTCCCCATGTCACACACACCCCACTTGATTTCCTACACACACACGTCTTCAACCCTATATAGCTTATGAAATAATTTAAAGATAAGCCAAATTAATCTTTAGAACAAGGATGAAGCTAGTGTGAAATGACAAGCTAATTAAAGGTCAATTTTCATTGGGAAAACCAAAAGTTTAACAGAACCCAATGAGCCTAATGAGGAAGAAAAGGAATCAAGTCCCATTTTTCTAGGGGGATCAACTGGTGTGGTGTGAGGTTGGGAGGGACACAATGGCCACAAAAAGCACTCCTAACTGTGCTCATTACTTCAACTAGATTTTGTCATGTGATGAATTAAGTAGTAGTACTAAAGAATAAAGATACATACAAACAAAAATCTCTTTAAAAGCTTGGAGGAACTTCTCATGTGAGATTAGCTGTTCAGCACAAGTGAGCATCTATCTCATGTGTTGATATACTAATAGAAGAAACCCTTCTCTTTAAATAAAGTAGTAATGGTTATTCTAGAGAAACAAATGTCAGAGACTAATGGAGTAGCTAGCTTTATAGATAAGTATGGATAGATATATATCACATATCTTAGTAATCTGCATTTTGATGATCATGAGAATGTTTGATTTATAAATGAGGAATCAACACAAGAAATAGAATAATATTGACACTACTACCATTTCCTAATTAAGGGTATTCATGGCACATTCAATTTTTTTAAAATTACATGAAGACCCTCGAATTTCGTATTCTCGCCCAATCTTGTTCATAAGTTGAGGTATATATTGGTCATTGTACAAAAGCTTAAAAAACTGATATATGTGAGGAATCAAAGTGAGCATTATCATTATCAAATGACAATGCAGAGGGGAGGTCAATGATGTTAAGAACTTTGTCTTAACCTTCAACAGTTTACTATACAGGGGGACGGGGTCCTGAATTATTGAATATAATGAGCTATGAAGGGAGTATGAATAGTTGAATGATTGAATTCTTTTCCCTCCCTATTAAGTGGGACTATTCTCTATAGGTTGGTCCATGTGATGATGGTTCAAAAGGCAAGAGGACAAATTTAAAAAAGCCAGTAGTGAAGTCACGTTATGCACGTGTCGGTCACATGACTTGCCCAGCAACCAGAATTTTTGGGTTGGAAATGTCTCATGGTGGGTGCAATTTATTCAAGGAGTGTGTCCCAGCAAAAAAAAAAAGGGGGTTGTGTTCTGTTTTGTATCAGGTAAAATGGCACAACTCATTTCTGGCTTTGTTGGAAGACCAGTTGGACTGCACTAAAACACCATACAAACAGCACACTCTTTCTTTTTTTCTTTTTTTCTTTTTCTTTTTTTTTTTTTTCTTTTTCGATTTTAGACTAAAGACACACTCATTGTTTGCAAAATAAGCTGAGTATACAAGTATTTAGCTAATGCATAGAAAAACTAAAGAAAGAGACTAGGTGCTTCATGCCATACTGTGGCATCCTTTACCTAGTCATTCCAGAAATAGATGCACTAACTGCAACAAGAGTTGTTTACCATTGTACGCCCACAATAATACACAGTGTATTTGTGTATATCTATGTATGAGTGCATATATACACACTCCAGAAAGTTGATCTTGTAAGTTATGATTGGAACTTCTTAGTTTTAAAACATCTTTATAAACACAAATGACTAACACAACTTGTTTTGGCATATATTAATATTCAACTTAGTGTTTTTTTTCCCCCCTCCAGCGACCCTAAAGATATAAAAGAAATAAACTGGAAAATAATATGAGTTCTCCTCTGTGTAGTTGGAATATGGGCGGCACATTTAAGAATCATTTTTGACAAGTCAGAACTTAGTTTACAATTGAACGTGAAACTGACGAATAATGAATTATGTTTTCAAGACCTTTTATATAACATCATGCCATGTATTGCACCAATATTAGTTGATAGAAGTGATGAGTGTGGTATAAAATATGTGAATGCATGGGAATACTGATAAGAAAAACCAACTTTTCATATAACGTGGTTAAATTGGTGCCTCACATAGTCACATGTTAGGTATCATCTCCTAGTTCTATATCTAATACTCTACTGTAAATGATAAGGTTTCATAATGGTTGCCACTCAAGCTGACATAACAATAAGACAAATTCATGCACCTTCTGATTCCAGGAAGGGTCATTTTTTTATCAAATGATCGACTCTTAAGCATATTAACTATGACAATGATCACATAGATATAGGCATAGCAAGGTGACATTGCTATCATTGTTTGACTTTCCGGGAAAATTTTTTAAAAAGGGGGACATTGCTTGATAAAAAAAAGGTTCGGAACACCTAACCAAAAAAAAAAAAAAAAAGGTTCGGATTAGCAAGAGTGATAATGCAGATTCGAGTGAGAAAAAAATTACTTTGTCCAAAATGATGCTAAATATTATATTTGTCACTGTTCTTCCCAACATCTTGCATATATAAACTGAAATAGGCTAAAATATATAAAATAGCACCTAGTACATTAAATATACTCGCTCGTAGAACACCTTTGGAACATTGCATTATTCATGGTATATATCGAGTGGGTGCAGTTTCAAATGGAGGGAAATGAAACACAAAAAGAGTACCTGCCCTAAGACTTGAGGGACATTCTTACAACTTGATAGCTTAATTGTGCTTTCAGCACACTAGACCAGGCAATAGATCCTAACAAAACTGAATGCTGCAATTTAGGAACTATTGCCCCTGAAACTGCAATGGCCATTCTAATAAATCAATGCAATTTTTCTTATTGTGTAGAATGAACAGGCATTTGTTATATATCTGCATAACCAAAGCAACAAGAATCATTTCTGTAAACATAGTATGTATATGAACAATTAAAGCAGCTGCTAAGTTATCTAGAACTATAATCGATGAACCAAGCAAGCAACCACATGGCAAAGTAATTTGGCATTGAGCTTAGGCATTTGCCAAGCAACATGAACTCGGATAATGGTTAAGAGCATAACAGAAATCAAGAAGAACGAAACATTTTTGTTCACTACTATTCGTATTAAGCAAGAAGGAAGTTGAAATTCAACAAAATGTAAGCACCACTGGGCAAACTCATTTAGGAATGGAGAGACTAAGAAGTTAGTGTTTTTTTTCGAAAGGCAAGTATAGTAATTGTCGAGGATGTAAATGCCATTGAAACTTAGAAGCTAATTCTACAAAACTAGAAGGCTACAACCAACAGCAACATTATTTATGAGTGCATTTTCAAAGTAGTAGTTACCAAAAGTCAAGGAAAGCCTCCTTTTTTTCTTGTTGACAAAGACCAGGCAGTTGTCATTAAAGGAATGATAATTGTAAAATGTGGACTCCTCTGCTCAAGATAACCGTCAACTTTTACCAAATGGATTGATTACAGCCTAAATGCAAGTTAAAAGTGGACCTTGTGAAGGTCTATATGACATAATGACATTGTAGATGGAAAAGAAGAGAAGCAGATGACCTATTTGGGATATGAAATTGGGAATGTGCCCACGAAGTATCTGAGTGTGCCTCTGATATTTACATAATTGAAAGCTGAAGACTGCAATGACTTAATTGAGAGGGAAAAGATATAAACAGCAGAGTGAAGCATTGAACTAGTAGAGCCTTTTCTTTTTCATTTTTGATAAATAAGAACACACGCATCACACTCACACTCCCAACACTACTCTAATGAAAAAGGAAGAGGAAATAGGCTACAGGCTACGCCTTGGCGGTAATTAAGGCCACATTGCTCCTGAGGGGAAAAGTTGTTGACACTTATAAAAAGATGCAACTTACATCTGTAGACGGTTTTGAAAATCAGGAGTATAAATTAGACAACATATACACAGTATAACACAACGTACGCGAGTCCTAAATCCAAGGTGAGTTCAACTTATCAAATTTTAACGGGTGCTAAAGGATTGGAATGGGATTATGATGGCAAAGCAAATATGTTGCTGATGAAGGTTCTTCGATCTGAATGGATTAAAGAGCTATATATATATATATATATATATATATATATATATATATTTTATTGGGTAAATTGAATGGATTAAAGAATTATTCCTTAAAGGGAGGGAAGGGCTGAATTCGGAGAAAATTTCTTAATGATGCAAGCAGTGTTGTGGTGAAAATGTGATGGCAATAAACGGGATAATGGATATGTATAGAACAGGTGGCTGAGCCATTCCTTTTGTCTGGGCCTTGCCTTGATAGTTACCTTATTGGGCCCTCTCTATCCCCTGGGTTTGTTGCGCCTTTGCCTTGCTTCTACTTTTTGGGCCGAACTATTCTTCTCGATTGTATTGCTTTTTGGGCCTTGTTATGCTTCCCGATTGTATTAGGCCTCTTGGCCTTTTTGGCCTGTTCTCGCAAGCAGACATCTCTCGTGTTGACCCATAAAAGATAGAATAAATTACACAGACACCAGTTGATCATATCTCATCTATATGAATATTTTAGTTTTAAATTTTACTTAAATTTTAATTTATTTTTTGGCCTCTGACACATTTTATCTTCAATTTTTTAATACAAATATCTATAATCTTAAAAAACAAAAAGACCCTTGTATCCTAAAATCAAACTGTGAGATATAACATAATCTCAAAGAATATTTTTGTAATTTACCTAAAAGATAAGCGCTATCAGATTTAAATTTTTTAAATTTTACATGACAAAATTGTGTTGTATAAGATCAGACAACCAACTATCAAGAGAGAGAGAGAGAGAGAGAGAGATATATATATATATATATATTTATATTTCACCCTTTATCAGGAGAATTTAACACACTAGCTTAAGAAAATCATTGCAAATTATTTAAAATAATATATAAAATAATAAATTCTATTAAAAATTGCAATTACCGGTTGGAGACTGATCCCGAACTAATATCAAAATATTACTCAATCAAAAAGATAATAAAGCTGATATATTTAATTATAATAATTTAAACTGTAAATTCTATTAAAAAAATGTGACAAATTATGGAGTAATTACAAATTAACACGTAATAAAATAAAATAATAAATAGTAATAATAATTCATAAAAGATATATTTAATTATAATAATTTAAACTGTAAATTATATTAAAAATTGTGACAAATTATTAAATGATTCAAAATTGTTATCAACTAATTACAAACTAACGCGCAATAAAATCAAATAAAATAATAATATTATTAATAATAATCCATAAGGTAACACATTTATTAAATTACTTATTTATATCGCAATTTTAGCTCGAATCCAGGTCAATTAAAACCAGACGTCTTTTCAACCGTTAAACTATTTTAAGACCAAGACGGAACTGACAAGGACCCACTCTCAAGTGCTTTTGCTGTGGAGAGAGGAAATTTCCTGTGTATGTTTTGTACACCCTAAAATAGCCCCACTTCATTATACCCCTCCCTCTCTCACACTCTCCACAAGACTACAATATTTAGTTTTACGCAAAGCATACTCCTCCATAGTTTTAGCTGTACAAAGCTGTCGATTCCAAACCTTCACTAAAAAGGATCTGTCAATTTACACATTCTTACTAGGCTTCACAAGCAAGATCAGGTCAGTTCCAGAATTCCAATATACATGTGTTTATATAAATTTATGTATATAAATTTCATCTGTGTTCTTCAGCTTCTATGCCTATGATTCTTCAGATCTGATGCTTTACAAGTTCGAATTTTGATAGATGATGTGTTCAGTTCATGTCTTGTGATGTGAAATGTGTTTAATTTGCTACTGTTCTTGATGAATTACTATTGTGATCTATGCTGAATAATGTTAAATTCAATTTCTGATTGTGTGGTTCTATGTAAAGTTAGGTTTTGATTGGAGTTGAAGGTGGGAAATGGCAAATCGAGTGAAGGAGGACGAGAGAAATGAGAGAATAATACGGAATCTTCTCAAACTTCCCGATAATCGCAGATGTATTAACTGCAACAGTTTGGTATGCTAGTTGTTGCCTTTTACTGAGTTTTGTTTTCTTTTAAATTCTTGATTTTTCTTGTTTATTTGTTATTTGTCCTGCAAATTCCAGTGCCTGACTTGTGCAGCTGGTAATTTGAATTATGGTATTTCATTGTAGGTTCACATTCAGTTGTTAAATTAGTTTACATCTGATAAGCTGTTGCATTTTTCCTTAAAATGGAGCTCGAAAATGCTTTCTGTACTAATGACAACAAACTCTTACCAACTGACATATTGAAATTTGAAGGTACTTCTGAAATTGATGAAATGATGACGATTGTCTTCAAATAGAAGGGAGATAGGGTGGTTGTCATCCTTTATTTTATTTGTTTTATAATTGGAGTAGAAGTTTTTTAGTTTGTGAAATGTGACACCGTTCTGGATGCTTTGATGACACTGAATTATTGTTGTTTGTTGAAAAAATTAGAAGAGGCACCAACATTACAGGGACTCAAGTTCATGTGTCAGATGCGGGTACATGTCTAGGTGTCAAAATTTGAAACTACAGTTGTTTACTGTTTTTAGAAGTTTCTTAAATGAGTTCATGTTTAATCACATTGTGTTATTGGTTATGAAAACTTTGTGATTCTTTAGAGCAATGAAGAAATCTTTCTTAGCCCCATTTGAAGTAATTTACTTGTATATGTAGGATAGAAAAATGGTTTGTAGAATTTGTTGATCCAAGCTAATTAGTGCTGCCAACTTATATACTTTCAGACATGAACATTCACCAAGATCCTAACTAGAGCATTGAGAAAACCAAATATCTTACTGCTGGTAGTGACTGGAAGGGTCTATTTTGTATCTCTAAAATGGATTCTCTGAACTCGAATAGTATACCTTATGAATGGAAGTATTGATGATTTTAGAAAGAGAAAAAGTTAATGGAACCATTTTGTAAACTCTTTACAAGATTATTTTTTTTATTTTTTATTTTATTTTTTCTAGTAACTTTGGGAAGGTGTTTAATATTGCATCTTAGAAGTGATAAATTTATTATGACAATGGTTTTATGGATTTTGTTATGCGAAGTGCTTGTTGTTACCATTCTCCATAAGTTGGGAAAAAAAAGACATAAGGACTTAATTAATAGGCTAACATGTTTTTTTTGTGGAGCAGGGACCGCAATATGTATGCACAAATTTCTGGACATTTGTTTGTACGAACTGTAGTGGAATACAGTAAGTGCTGACATGCGCTCTGTCACAAACCATATAGAAATACATATCCTTATGTATAGAGGACAGAGAGAGGAGAAGTTTATGGATGCATTTTACTAGTATGTTATAGGCTCTGTTTAACTGCTCAGTTACTTGTTCAGTGAATCATTTATTTGAAAATATTTGCAGTCGGGAGTTTACGCACAGAGTAAAATCAGTGTCAATGGCTAAATTTACTTCACAAGAAGTTAGTGCTCTTCAAGGCGGGGGAAATGCGGTAGGGATACATATTTTGTAGTAATCGGCGTAATGTATTTTCTTAATCACTCATTATCAACCTTTGCATTGTGTTATAAAATATATGCTTTTTTTTTTTTTTTTTTTTTTTTTTTTTTCATTATCACAGCGTGCAAAGGATATTTATTTCAAGGAATGGGATCCTCAGCGTCATTCTGTCCCTGATAGCAGGTTATCACCGTTCTATGTTATAATGTTATGTTATATTTTCAGTACAAACTGCAGTTCTGATTCATGTTTTGCTGCCAGTCAAGTTGAGAGACTTCGGGATGTTATTAAACATGTTTATGTGGATAGAAGATATGCGGGTGAGAGGAGCTTTGACAAACCCCCAAGGGTGAAAATGGTAAGATAACAAACCACCCCCCTCCCGCGGCCGCTGCCCATAATTTTACGTAGAAGCTAATGCTACTAGTACTAGTTCATGACCTCATTAGTATATTATAGGGATATGATGGTTTTAAAGCTTTCTTCTTTTTTTCCCCCTGGTTTAGTGATTTTCATTTGTTTTAAAGATGCATTTGTACTTCATGCAGGGTGAAACTGGGGACTATGAAAATAGAAGGATAGATACATATCAGGGTGGGTCTCGAAGCCCTCCTTATGAGGACGAATATGAACGGCGTTACAATGACAGACCCAGTCCTGGTGGAAGAAGTGATGACAAGAATTACAGAAATAATTATGATGCAAGAAGAAGTCCAGGATATGAACAAGAAAATCGGCAACGTGGTGATTACAGAAGTCCTGCTCGCAGTGGGATAGTGAATGACTGGCAACGAGAAGACAGATTCGTTAATGGGAGGAGATCCGAAGACAGTAGAAGTTCTGATGGAGGTTCTAAGCTTGAAATTATGTCACCTGACCGTCAAAAGGATTTGGATATGTCCAGTCCTCCTATGGTCCGTCCCGTCAGAGATATTTTGGGTGACAATCTATCTCCCCTTCGAATTGAACCTCCAAAGGCCAATGATGGCAAAGCTGCTGAGGGTTCTGTACGCACACAGGTAAAGACTATGCTTTGTTAAGCTGCATACTGTTTTGTTTTTTGTGGGGTGTTGGCCTCCTAATGCTCATGTTTGTAATTGGTTTGGCTTGTACTGATATTTTAAAGTACAAGTAGTTTTCCATTCACATGTCAAATTAATTGTGGTTCATTGTTTACGTTAATACTATTGTGTATTCATGTAATTTTGCTGTCTGCTAAATATGGTTGAGTTCCAAATTTGGTGTAGACACACTTTTGCATGTCAGGAAAAGAAAAGAATGCAGACACGCGTGCACGCACGCACGCACGCGCGCGCACACACACTTCTGTCTGAATTATTTACTTCTAAAAATCATCTTTTTTTATTTCAATATGAGGTATTCTGTGTGTCATTGCACCATTTACCTATTCCAACCTCTATGTGCTTTACCTGAATTATTTGCATCTCAGACCCTGTTCACTTTAATCTTCTCTTGAATTGCGTTGAGTCATGCTTTTTATTCGTAAGATTCTTCTATTTTTGTTTCCACTTTTCCCCAGTAAGATCTACTGTAAAGGTTTCTAATTGCAGAGAACTGCATCTTCGAGTAGCTTGGCATCCTCGAATGGGAATCCAGCAGAACTTAGAAGGGAGAATTCAGGAATTTTAATCGATTTTGATGCTGTTACTGAACCCACTGTTACTGTAGCAATGCCACAAACACAACAGACAGCTTCAGGTCAACCCAATTCACAGCGAACAAATCCATCAAATGTTGATAACTGGGCATGTTTTGATTCTGCCACAGAGGTGAAAGTATCTGAAGCTACAGCAAGTGTGAATTCACTGGAATCTGTATTATCGCAATTGTCTGTTTCAGCACCTGTACCTGGTCACATGGCAGGAAATAACTTCATGTCTGCATCAGCCTTTGGCAATGGTGCTTCATCAGCTGCAACAGTAAACAACTTCATGACATTACCACCTGGTGGAGCTCCAGCAGTAGCACCTTTAGGGCACACGTCTCCGTCTTCCTTCGGCAGTGTTGCTCCAGCAGCTACACCAGTGAACAACCTGATGGCATTTCCCCCTGTTGGTGCTCCAGCAGCAGCTCCGGGGTCGGCATCAGTATTTCCAATCAATGGTGTTAATTCCTTTTTCAAGGTTGCAGATAATGAACAGTGGCCTGGCATGCATCCTCAACAACATTCGAATTTTCTTGCTACTGGTAGTCAGTCTAGTGCTCAACCATCAACTCCACCTCTTGGTGGAGCTCAGGTGTGCTTCATGGTGTGGCTTTTGTTACAAGTTGTGCAATTCTACTTTAATTATAGTATTTACAATATTATCCTGTGCATTTTTTGCAGCCATGGAATTCATCACTTGCCTCGAATACACGAGGACTGTCTAGTATTACATCTGCACAAGCATCTCAGGCTATTTCAAAACCAACCCCAGAGGTGGCTTCTGCAGTTGTAACACAACTGTCCCCTGTAGGGGTTAAACCTACTGGAAGAACTGAACTGCCAGAGGTAAAATTGGCATCATCCTTTCCATTTGTCTGCGTGTTTGTATTGTATATGGTTTTCTGTATTTAAAATTAAATTTCAATTTGTCAGGATCTGTTTCATGCAACTTGTTCACCTCCATTTGTACCACTTCCAGGCTGGCAAACTGGTCCACCTCATGGATTTGGGTTCACCATGCCATATAATACTGCAATGGTATCTAAGACCAACATGATTATGCCGATTACTTGGTTCTCTTTTATATTTTTAATCTACTAAGTTGCATCACACGGTCATTTATAAATTGGGTTTTTTTCTTTTTACCAGCCCATGCCAACGTTTCTTCAGTCATCAAAATCGACAAACCCATTTGATCTCACCAATGAAACAGCTCCAGTTCAAGCTCCATCAGTATGTTTTTATTTTTATTTTAGTATGCTAAATCTGTTTCTTTTAACTGATTTGCCTGCTCCATTACTGCTTCTGACATGCGGTAAATTTTGTCAATCTTTCTGCAATAAATATAAGTTAAAAAGGTAAAGAAAAGAAATGTTGCATTATTTGCTTACAATGCATTTTTTGTATGTTTGCCAACAATTTATACTCATAAGCTGCTTGGAGCTGTGTTTACCGGTCTGACTATGATTGTGGAAAGCAAAAAACAAATATGAAAGGATTAATTGATAGGAAGCTTGATGTTTAAGTGAGGTGCATCAATTGAATATGGCTATTTAAACTTTCTTTTTGATTTAGATGCTTGGAGATAGCTAACAATGCTCAATCTAATGTCATTTTGTCTACTGAATCAATAAATAATATGCAAATGTATTTCATGTCAATTATTTAGTTTTTAAACTTTTTATTTTTTTGAATTTATACAATTTGTTTTCTGTGAAATTTATTGTCTTCCTAAAGATTGTTTCAATTTTTTGTAATGGAGTTTTCTTGTGATGCAGTTTCCTCCCATGGCATCCTATCCATCAGCAATGCCTCCCCAGTCATCCTATCCATCAGCAATGCCTTCCCAGGCACTGGCACCATCTTATGCATTAGCAACACCTCCAAGTAATATTATATCTCAGTCTCTTCTAATGTACATCTCCATTGCCATACATTGATTATTTTCGCTTTTTACATTGGGCATTTGCTTACTAATATTTCAGGTGCATACATGGGGCAGCAGGTACCTAACTCGCCATCCAGGTAATTCTGTTTCGCCATATCTTTTTCTCCATTGAATGCAAGTATGCTAACTGTAGCACCTCTTTAATCACCAACAAAACATGTAAAAAGTTGGGAATTTGTTTTCACACAAATGTTCTCACACTTGCCTTGTTTTTTTATTTTTTCTTCATTATAGTATTAATACCCTGCATATTTTATTTATTAATATTCAATTTGAATATGATTTTTTCACTGTTGGAAGTGATTTATCCACAAAGTTGTAAAAATTCAATTTGTATATGATTTTATCTTCACTATTGGAAGTGATCTACCCAAAAAGTTACAAAAAATTCTAATAAGGAAAGGAAGAAAATGACATTTTCAGATTTTTTTGGATATATTAAATATTATTATGTATCAGCAATAATATTCAGCTCCTATTTGTTAGTCTTACAGAAGTTTCTGGGGACCTCTGCAGGCAGCAGGTAGCAGTGGGATTTGGTAGTGGTGGGGCTGCTTTTGGCTCCTTAAGTTCGAACCAGCAGCTGAGTGGGATTTATTCAGCAGCTGCTACCCCGAATGCTCTCTCTTCTGTTGGAGGAAACCCATTTGGATAAAGGAAACAACTATGGTGGACAATCATCATCTTGTTGCTCCCACAAAAACCGTTTGGTGGAATTTTTGATTCTTTCTTCTTGTATATTAAGCTAAAAGATCCAGCCAACCATGAAGGTTTGTTGAATACTTTCATGGTGCAAGGTTTGATTCTTCTCCTTGGCCATGCAAAGTAAATGTGGTGCTGTAAGAAAAGAAGGTAGAGAGAGCAATGGAGATCTGAAGTGCATAGCACCCCCCACAAGGATTGGAAGTCTTTTTTTGTGCAGCCATGTATTTTATTGGCATTGGTATAGTGTTCAATCAGTGACTTTTGTGTTGCGCATATTGCCCTAAAATTTTATCAAATTTTTTTTTCTTGAACTGTATTAATTACAATACTTCATAATTGTGGTGAGCTCTTCCTGTCAATATCTGAAACAAAGTGTTTGTAAAGCACATTCTGTATTACAAATATCATTTATATAATGTTGATATGTATTTGTTTCTTTGTTTTGAATAACATACTGTATGGTTGTTGGCTCTTGTCCTATTTCTGAAACTTATCTGGCAATGTGATGTTTTTTTTTTCCTTTCGGAAACTTGAAAAATGCAAAGCAATTGTGTTAGTTTGATAGTTGGAACAAGCATGAGTGATAGTGTCCTCGAATATGCAAGGAATCCTGATTTGTGATCATCAAGTTCGTACAGGTAGAACTAAGACAATAGAGATGTCTAATCTTTACAAAGCCGTGTATCTGCTGGAATTGGTTCAGATTGACCATGCGAAATCCATTGCAAGTTCTAGGTATATCTATATATATTTTGATATTATGCCTTTTTATCATCTCATGGTGATACCTGATGCCATATACCATGTGTGTCAATTGGTAGCATGCTTTCCCAGAAAATCAGGTGATACTTGTGTTGATAAGGTTCTCAACTTCCTTATCTTTAGTGGTCCCAAGATGCATGTTTTAGGATAAACATGGATATATGGTTTCGATTAGGATGTTTGTTCTTCATTATTTGAAGTCGTGGTTCGCCATATCCTCCGATATGTGACGTATTGGCCGATACGTTATCCTTTTTCAAGTTCGATACGCCACCTGGCCAGTTTACATTAACTTGTCCGAGTCCGTTACACCGCGACCATAACCGATATTGCGAACCATGTCTGAAGTGTACAAAATGCCGTGTTTGGAAAAATAAAAAAAATAAAAAAAAAGGTCATCCTTTGTCAAATTCTATGAGCTTTTCTAAGTGTGCCTTCTTGCAATGCAAAATAGGATGTTGTCTTGGCAATGGTTCAAAGGTTTTTAGTAATTTCCTCAATTTTGCAGAACATCCACTCTGTCCCGATAGGAACTTAAATCCTAGCCTACTCTTTTAGAAGGTGAAAGAGATACTACTCAAGCAAATACTTTGTGGAATTCCAGTTCTTCATCAGAGCATTAAACTTGTTCTAAGTGATGAATAACAATTACAGGCATGAGGTGAGAGAGAGACATTACTCAAAATCATAACTGTTAATTTATATATAAGGATAAATTTTTAAGTTCCATGAATGTTTCTTAACTACAATATTTACAGGTATGAATGACTATTGTCTACATAGACAGAGATGAGAAGAATGTAGTGTGAAGAGCTGTAGGATGCGACATTTATTTCATTTAGAAATGCAACAAATCTGGTCAGTACTGGTATATAGTTGTTGATGAGTCCTGAAATCCTGAAGGCTCTTTGCTTTGCACATGCTTGAGATGGAGGACTACCACATGCACAACAGATTAGTGAGGCAATCTCAGAAAATCTTTTTTCTTTGGACTGCTTATACCGGTTCAGCTGTTTGTCTGCTTTTCCATATGATTGGAGCCACCACCATCCAAACTGCAAAAAATAATTATAATTTTCTTTAAGTAGTCTCGGTAGTCTACGCCATTTTGTACTTCCAAAATGACATAATCAAACATACATACAAGAACTGTTGAGACGAGTTCTTGAATTTTATGTGAATTTGAGTTTCAGTTAGGTACTTACCATACACACAGAACGCCAGCCATTCATTTACTATTCTGACCCAAGTACTGGTCCATCCCACATCAATTGTCCACCTGCAAAGAGGTCAATTATATTCCTATTTAGGTAAGAAGTCTTGCCATTTTTCAAAATGTTATTTTTCAATTATTTTTCTTTCTTCTCAGAGTTGCTTATCATTCATGAACTTGTTGTCAAAGACATATTTTGCAAAGTGATCAGATCCTCAAGGCATGTTTCTGAAACTTTGGGTTTTGTCCTTTCTTTCTATTTACAGAATTCGTACCAGAAAACTCTATAAAGAATAACTTGGCTCATTTTAGAAAAATGGACTATCAAATTGGCAATCAATTGCAAAATTATCACTGCCACACCATTTGGATAAAATGTCTGTATAAAAGGAATGTTTTTAAAGCGTTTTCCCTCTGAAAAGCACCCATCAAAAAGAAGAATTCTGCAAAAAATGAGTACTTACCTTTTCATGTCATGATGCATATTCCAACCAATCAAAAGCATTGCGAAGTACATGGCTCCTGTGGCAAAAACAAAATGGAAGAAGCCAAAACCATATGGAAGATCATCTTCTTCCTGTTTTTCATCCTTCCTGAACTGCACCAGATGTCAGTACATTTTGTGAACATGTCTAGCTAACTGTAAGAGGTTGAGTGAGATAAACCTGAAAGCATTTGGAATCAATGCCTGTTGAAAACGTTGCAATAACTATTGCGACCATCGCAACAATAAAACTCTGCAGAGATGAGAGATCCATCATTATTCTGGGAAAAGAAATCCAAATACTTTGCAACAAAAACTGTGTCAACTACAGTTTCAATAACGTGGTTGTGATTAGAAAACTATATTGACTTCAAGGTTTGACATAAATTCTACTCTCTCACAAAGAACTACTCTAAATGGTGTACTTAAAGAAAAAGGGGGTCAGTGATTAGTGTGATAGGAAAATTTCGAGGACAGTCACTTTGTGCAATAATATCAAAGGTTAGATCTGTGCCAAGTCTAACCCTCCCAGCATCAATCAACAGAGCCCACACTGGACAATGGCTTTCTCATGTAACTTGGATGAAAAGGACAACAAATGGTGCTTTAGTGTGACTTTAGCATTCCACTCATATTTTAGTCAAAATCTATATAACGAGCAACATAATCAACTATATATACCACATGGAACATGATGTTAGACAAGAATCAATGACGTTAAAATGGTAACTTTATATTGTATATATTAGGAAACAAATGGCAATCTAATTCAATAGTTGTGAACATTGACATTCCTCTTTGAGAAAATTGGGAAAGAGTACATCTATCTCGCAAACAAAAGGTTGAGATATCCCTTGAAATGCACCAAATGTAACCAAAAAGGATTATTAAAGTTACCAAGGGCGGGCTGTAGTCTAGTGTTACTTCGAAAGTAGAGATTGAGGGTTCAAGTCGGGTATGTGGGTGAGTGAGTTTCTTGCCAAGATAAAAATAAAAATAAAAATAAAAATATATATAGATTAGTATGAGTTTACACTTTCAAAAAATTTCCCCTTCAATATTTATAGACAAAACATTAAAGATTATTAAGCAATCCAAAATATTACTATGATGGTAAGCCAATCTCCCTTGACTGCAGCTTCCGACTTCCTGATGCATCTTTCTTCTGGTGGCTCACTGTGAACATAAAGATGTGATTAGTTATGAAAGTTGGTTGAAGATGAAACTACAAACAAAGAAATTGAACCAAGCTGAGAAATCAAATCAGTTCAATTTAAATTGTCGTAACATAGTAATAATATTTTGACCAACTGTTCATTTCATATTTAAATGAACTTCAATATCTAACCTTTGATTTGGGGGGAAAGGCAAGTAGATGTAGGAAGACAAATACACAAGGTAATGCATGCACAATTTGCAGCAAGTGCAAATCTCTAAAAGTTGGTAAGGGCAAGGAAATCTGCTTTTGCACTTGGTGACTCATAGCAATACCATTTAGGGACAACAACATGACACTTTAGTTAAATGATATGGAGTAATGGTAAAAGTGGGACCCTCTTCTCTTTCTTTTTTTCCATTTAATCAATGAATTTAGTTTGCTGTAGTTACATGGTAAGGGTAGAATGCAGATTGAAAAGCAGTAAAATTATTGAGTATGACAGAAAATATAAAAAATTAGAGACCATGCCTTCTAATGGCAGACCAACAGAGGAATACCACATAAAGCCCCATAAACCCTGGAGTCAAGAAGCCAGCATTCACCTGTTTCAGGAAATATATATGCATTTATATATATGAAATTATCTCAGAACATGAATGAACAGGAAAATATTGTGAATAAGCTTACTTTCGGGTGGCGGGAGACACTGGTCATGAGTTGGAGGAGTACTAGTGTCCAGGAGATGAAGAAAATGTTGAGAAGACATGATGGCTCTGGAGCATACCAAATGTACATCAAAATGATCCCAAGTATACATACGACATATGCACCAGTTGCTAATAACATTACATAGATGTGGCTGTGATGCAATTTTTTCAAAAAAAAAAAAAAAAAAATCAGTAACAATTCCAGATAAATTATAACTGGATAATGTGTACAGAGAAATTGTTATGTGTTTCAAAAAGATCTATCAGAAAATTGCGTAGGCGTTCTTTTGCTTACTTAGGCAATCTAGGCACCTATCACTTGGGTCAGATAAGCCCAATGTGGAATGTGACAGGTTGTCCCTTGCTAATTCCCAGGCAAATAAGGCTTAAATACAGTCTCGGTTGCCTGAATTTGTTTGCATGCTAATAATACTGTTTGTATTAAGCGGAAAAGCAAAGAAGATTTATGTTCATAACAGTTAAAATGAGAAGACATTTACCATCTGTCTGCATGTTTGTCGGACTGACAACAATCATTCAGCCATCTAATGAAGCTGATTATGCTAATTAGCTGAATCAGTAGAAAGACCCTGTAAAGAATTGTGAAAAAGATCAGAAACAAAAAGGCTTCAGGCAACTTTATGGACTGGACAAGGATACAAAAGGTTTCATTTAAACTTCCAGAACTAGTTCCTACTGAAAGCATTATTTTATGCATGATTTAAAGACAAAAGAATATAAGAGGAATCAATAATACCCAGCGCCAAAATGTGCAATTTCCCCTGCCAAAACATGATGCATCAGTGGTGTGCTAAATAATCTGAAGCCATAAGAATTATGATATCTTATAACTGAAACACAAAAAGGAAATAATAATTACTGCAATGTTGTAAGAAGACTGAATTACACTAACCGTAAAGCTGAATAATGGCTGAAGGAACAAAAAGAGGCAGCGCGACAAGTGCAATCATTAAGAGAACCTTGGCAGTCCACCATCCAGAATGCCACAATTCTCTAGATTCATTTAATTTAGATGTACCAGCTGTAGAAAGAAACATAGTGAAATAGAATGTCTAATATACTATTAAGGCTCACTCTGATTTAACTACAAATAAATGGAAGATTTTAGCAGTAACTAATCCGACAATTTGACATAAAGCTCAGTGACATATTAAAGGAACCATAATTTTCCTATCCGTACAGAAATGTGGACTTGAAACTCAACCAAGCCAGTTATAAGTCAAATATATATAGTACTTGAATTGTATTCTTTCCCAGTGTAGCAATGATCACTTCTTTCTTAATTTTCATGGGTCAAAACTCCACCGCATGTAAGAACTCCAATAACGGCTTGAAACTCCTCTCCTAGAAAAATAATTTGATATATAGAAGAATATATACCTTGATATACATTCTATGTTCTCACTATCAGTGCAAAAAGAATTCAATCAATTGTCACATTTTCGTTTGAAAATCTAATTGTAAACCATGATATTTATAACTTATTCCTGCCGAAAATGTGGTTTTCTGTCCTAAACTGTACACGGAAACCTCTTCTAGAAGAGGTCTCATACACCTAGGGATAAATTGAGGTCAACTATTTTACTGAAAAACTCATATTACTAAGAACTAAACAAAAATGGGAAGGATACAAAGCATCCCATGCTCACTCGCAAAACTCCTTCCGTGCCCAAACAGTCTTTGCCGCCGTGGCATCCTTTCAGCCCTGTAACCATATCAAGTCATATTAGCATCACATATTATTTATAGTCTGGAAATTTATTTACTGGTGTCTCATTGACAAAATGGAGACAAAAACTTTCATGGTTCAGGTCAGACTCTGGCAGCTCTACTGTAACTACAAAATTCACATGACAAAATGCTGGCTGGTTATTGTATTTGTGAAAAGGCTTTTGGAAGAAAATATAAGTTTCTTAAGAAGTCTAAAAGAAAGGCATTTCATAAAATCCTAAAACTGATCCAAGAAACTTCTAGCGGTGGCCCATTTTTTCCTTTTCTTTCTCTATGTTCAATGCAAATTATAGATCTTAATCTCTACATGCTAAGTAAATTACAATGGAGCCACCGAACTTGTAAGACACGTCTAAAGGCACCCTTGGCTCTCTTGATTAGCTTCCAAGAAAAAGAAAAAGAAAGAAAAAAAAAAAAAGAACTATTCAAGGTACTTAGTAACTTTCTTTAGTGGGCTGTCAACAAGTTGTTAGCTGTAATTAGTAGGCGGAGACAGAATCCACTTGTTGGTAGTAAGACCTGAACTGAAGTAGTATGATGACAACTAACAGACTGTACTACTACTAGTTTTCAAAATGATTAAGCTCTCTTTGTTAAGTTGCAGAAAGTAAATGCACAAATTCAAGAATTTAATCAGTCTTACTCTCCATTTCAGTCAAGGCACTCCGACCATAATCCCGAACAGCCCATGCAAGCAAATTTGTAATGAGAAACATTAGGCCATAGACATATCTGGCCATCCAAGGGTTGGAGCCATAATAGAATTGACTGAACCAAGAGCCCTTCATGAGCTTGGCATACCGATCAATACTATTGTTTGTGGTGCCCTCCATTTCAGCTTCAATTTTTGCAGTAGTCGTCTATGACAGAGAGGATCAATGGAGGAGTAAAGAGCTAGTGAACTTCATTTCACTAGCTCCTCTTCATCTGCAATTCATGCAACAATGATATTAAGCAGGACATAATGAAGTGTTTTTGCTAAGTGCGACAATGTTCAAGAAATGAGTGACTTGTGTCAACCGTGATGAGTCAAACTTTAAAGGGCTAAAACTGGAACTAATTAAGTATTTTCAGCCAGTGTGTTTTATATGAATCAGAAAACAAAGCCCCACATAAAGATTCCTTGGGATTGTAAAGGAGCATTTCACATCACCTCACTACTAAACAGAGTGACGCTATAAATGGATATTATCTACTTATAAGATCTTCACTATAGTAACACTTGGCCATGTGTGTGTATCGGTATTTTTTTGGCAAGTGTTTCTCATGAATTGTGACAAATGCGGAGATACAAGAAAAATAGATTTGACAAAATTCTTTTTAAGAGTGTCAATTCTGTCAATTGCAAGTCATAGTAATTGGATCTTAATTCTAATTCACTTCAGGTGATCAAAGTGGACAAAAAATGAAAATCTCAAACATTCATTTATTTAGAAAATTATAAATTTTTATGGATATACAATATGTTGCAGGGCATCATAGTACTGTAGAAGGTGACTTGTCTAGAGTTAGCACAACAATATTGACATTATCAAAGCAAATAATTCCTTCAGTGCAATTCCTCCTCATGGCAAAACTCTTAAATAATTTTCTTGAAGGCTGTTCCCTCAAGGACGCATCAATTTCTTTTCGGAACATCAATGTAATAAACACTAGGGTTTAATTGGTCATAGATTGGACAGTTTTCACTAACGAGTGCTTATTTTGCTTTGCTCTTTGGAGAAAGAAACAATTATGGTAGACCAAAACTGAGCATAAATGAAGAAGAAAAATCCTATATTTTCCTTGATAATCTAGTAAAATTTAGCATAAAAATATAAGGATTGGTGAATTTTGATGAATCAGGGACCATAAATAAATACACTTTCAATCATATGAATAATGCCTCAAAAACATCCTCCACAATACCAATTTTGAATGTATATACCTATATTACCATACCAAGGACCAATCTCTCTACATTCAAGTTGTAATCAAGTCTTATAGGCGCGAATAGAGAACATAGACACAGATAAATAATCAAACAGATCAATTACGTATTCAATAGTTTCATGAACATACATACATACATACATATATATATATATATATATATGTATAATAATGTCATAATAATAACAATAGCACATTCAAGATTGAAATATATAGAAATGTTGAATATGTGATGAGAGTTGTTGAAGACATACCTGAGAAGAATACCGATGAAGGCCTCGAGATCTAAAGCCCACAAATGAGTTTCTTCCTACAGAAGCTCACAGAACACTCTTTCTCTTTCGATACCTTTTACCATCACAAAGAAAACAACAAAGAAAGAGAGAATTTTAATTTTTCCTGTCTTGTTTGTTCTTTATCTTTCTTTGTTTCTGTTTTTATTTTCTAAAGTAGTTTGCTTATATATATATATATATATATGCGCGTGTATATAGAGTGAGAGAAAAAAAGAGAGATTTGCTTTATGGAGCATTACTTTGTTGCTTGGCTTCATCTTCTTTTTTTCCCGCCGAAGCTTTCTGTTTCCGCTTCAGGTGATTTGTCGAAACACAATAATAGGTATCTCTTCAAAGCAATTAGTGGACGGAGACGATCAATGCGCGTGGTCACAATAAATGGCTTATTAACGGCAAAAAATGCTTAAAACTATGATTAAGTGGCTTAGTGCTATTTCAAGTCATCATTCATTTTATATTAATACAAGTAACACCAAAAAAATTACTGACTTATATACTGGTAGTTTTTTTTTTTTTTTTTGCAATTATATATCATTTACACAACCACAATAAAACTGTTATTACTGTCAAATAGCAATAAAATAAAAATTACATCATTAGTCATTAAATACATTCACTTGAGTTTTACATAATATTTATGTGAATGGTAGTTGATGTTACCACGATGTTATTAATATTTCTCACGGCAATCCTTACTCATATAAAATGAATCAAATTTGCCCCACTATCAAACTTCTTATCATTACTATATACAAACTTTTGATCTTTAAAGCCACTTAAATATTATTTTCCAAAATAAAATTAGACCCCCACTGTAATAGTTATGATTTTATATATATATACATATATATGTACATATATATTAAAGTTATAAGATAATTATTTTATTTCAAAAGGTAAGTGGCCCCACCAATATATTAAACTTGCCATGAGGCCATTACACAGACTTATTGGTTTCTCTCTCTACTGCATCACTCTTCCTCTTGGCAGTTTCATTTTCTTTTTTTCTTTTTGCAATTTCAAGGCTTGATCTAGCTTTACTTGTTTGGAATTTTGATAGAACTTTATGAAGCAAAGTCGGAGAGTTCGAGGCCTTCAATTTGATAGGAGCCAAATATCATTTAGCCAAGCCTAGGGATTCTGAAATTAGGGCTTGGATTTGGAGATTTTTGGGATTTTTACTTCCATTGAGGTAGGGGTGTTCTAATCTACAACTTTTTGGGTTTTTTGTGAATTTTTCCCCTTAAATTTGATCCTAAGCATACTAATTTTTTATTACCTAGCTTCTTGTTATTGTAGTTATGTGTAATAAAAATGATAAATGTGTTCCATGTGTTATTTGAGTTCATATACATGATTATTTTCATTACGATAAATGAGCATACTTAGTGTTGATATGTTGTATGTTAATTTTTTTTTTTTTTATTACTTTGAAAAATTGATGCTATGGTTATGAAAAAAAAAAAAAAAAAAAAATTGAATGTTTAGAAATATCTATTAAATTGTGATGATGATGTAAATGGAATGTGTGAAATCATATAGTTAAATTGATGATTTGAAGCATGAAACATTCATGCATCCATTAGGAAAGAAAAATGGGGGAAAATATTTGTTAGAACAAACGAAATTGTTTTGGAAAAAATATTTTCTAAAAGTGTTGCGAAAACCGGACGCCTAGGAGGCGCCTAGTGGTCCGTGATGTTGGTGTAGTCTAGAAAGGAATGTAGTTGAGTTAACTAGACCGGATGCGACGCATTTGTGGTCGTGAATAGTTAACTAACCTTCATTTCGTGATGCTTTGGATGTGCCTTGGGTCATATTATACTGACGGTTTGGTTGTTAAAACGAAATTGTTTCGGAAACGAGGAGCGACATTTGCATAACATTGCACTTCATGACATTGTGGGAAAATTTGTGATTTGTTGACATTTGCTAGATACTTGTTGCTGTGGTTGAGAATATGTATTCCACATGGTATGACCCCGTTCCTTTTTGCCCATTCTTTGTGTGAAATTCACGTGAACATAAGAAGTGTGTCTTAGACACTTCCTACTGAGCTTATGATCACCCCATTATTTTTAACATTTTTCATGATACGGAAAAGAAGTGGCGGATGACGATCCACCACAAGTTTAGACGAGATTGAAGATCTATTTTATTTTGCTATCTTTTGTATTAGAATTCTAATATTTTATAAATGTAATCTTAACTATTTTGTGAAACTTTAGTTTAATCAGTATAATATTGTAAGTTATGGACTTTTAAATTTTAGCTACATTTTATGGACTGTAACTTGATGTAACTAAGATGTGTTCCTTATTTGGATGAGGGAGGAAGAAGATTTTTGATATGTATGTAATCATTTTGGGAATGTGATATAATAATTATATTGTGCGTTGGGACATGATAGGTTATTTTTAAGGCCTAGTGAGGTCATTGCATCTTTTTTTGTATTTCAATAAGTTGTAGAGGGACTTTTTCTGCGGAGGTCATGCCAAAATTTTATATATTTTATTATTGTTATTTTGGTATCTTTTTGGGTCGTTACAAATTTGGTATCAGAGCGATGGTTCGAATATCATTAGGGCGACGGATAGAAGCCTACCTAGGATTGCATAGGGAGTTGAGTTATTTGTTTACTTGTTTAATTGCTTCTGTGATTGCATGCTTATATGCTTATGTGTTAAGGTGTTTATGTTAGAAAATATATACTTCATGTGACATTTAAGATATAACAAACTTTATACTAATATGTCATGAGATAATTAATAATATGCCAAAATAAAGCAATAAAATAATAATAATAAATAAAGAACCTGGACCGAGGCTAGTATTGAATACTATGTCTTTAAGACAGATTCGCCCCGCTATGGTGCTAACGGACTCAGTGGCTTCTATCTCCCAGGATACAACGGTCTACATCTACCAGTAGTAGCACTACAAACTCGTGGATACAGCGAACCTCCTCCATGTAATACTCTCTCTGACTAAAAAATGCATATATACTATATAAATGCTGAATTGGGTGTAATTCGAACGTGGTTCGGACCAATCTTAACATGGCTCGATGAAATTGGATTAGGGTCTAAGTGGTTCGGACCACTTAACCTATGGTTTGAACCTACTTGGGTTGGGTTCAAGTCTAAAGAGGGAGATAGAAAAATATGAAATGAACGATTTTCAAATGATCCAAAGGGGGGTATTTATAGGCAACAAGGTGCCTTTTCAGATTGGGTGTGTCTCTTCATCATTGGACACAACCATTTATATGTATCTTTTCATCATTGGACACATCCCTCTAATTGGTTGCAATGGTTCACATGGTGTCTGTTCACCAATAGATACATCCACTCCAATAGGTTGCAATGGTTCACATAAATAGTTATGTCTGTTGATTTTGAGTTGCAACCCTTTAGAAACAGATGCAACCCTTTAGAAACAGATGCAACCCTTTGGAAAAAAAAACTAACTTTTAATTTAAATTCAAAAACCAACCACCAATTTAAATAAGCCCAGCCCAAAATTAAAAGTCCAATCCAAGATTCCATTTAGTAAAAAGAATAATTGGATTTTACAATTAAGCCCAACCCCAAGCCCAAGCCCAAGCCCAAGCCCAAGCCCAGATTTAGCTTATTTAAATTTCAATTAGTTTCAACATTTTTTTCCATGTGGGACAAACACTTCCCACATTTTGCATACCCATTTAGGCTTATCAAAACACCACACTTTGGAGCTAATTTCTCATTCATCCAGAAACGGATTTGAGAAAGTAAATATACCACGTTCATCTCCTTGCGGAGAGAAACGTGCTCGTTTATAGATCCAAAAAAAATTATTAGCAGAATTTATTCCAAATCCCATCCAAAGTTTATGTTTTTAATGCCCCCGTTTCCAACAGTTTAATTATTTGAAAGGCATGTTTAATTGTTTAACTACTTATATGATTACGTGTTAAGTACTTAGTGTTGTTGTATATTATTAGCATGATCATGTTTATCATTAGTTGGGTATTCTGGTAATATAGAAGGTGTTTATGTGTTTCCATTCTTGTCAAGTCATTGTGTGAGGATTTCGTTCTCATGCATATTTTAGTGTCATCATTTTTTCCGTTTCCTTTTTCTTATAGCGTCATGCCACCACAAAGGGATTCCGGGGAAAGTTCTAGTTCCAATCCTGTGGAAAGGGATCAGGAGCAAGTTGAGGAAGATATCTTGTTGCGTGATTTGGTACCACCAAGAGGGGACAAGCGAGGGGGACTGTTGATCCACTTTTTCAGATAAATGAGGAGCAGTTGAGGTTAGCCATTCAAGTAGCTCTTTTTAATGCATTTCGACAGGTAAGTGCATCATCGTCACAGTTTGTCCCGCCACCGGCACCACCACCACTACCACCTCCAAATACAAATGAGTCAGATGATACTCTTTATTACATTGCAAAGTTTGTGAAATCAATGCCAACTTTGTTTGAGGGCGGTCCAGATCCGCTTGTTGCGGATAGTTTCATGGATAGGGTGGAGAAGCATATTAATACCATGAATTTGGCAACGGACAAGTTGAATATCACATTGGCGACTTACAATTTTGTTGGTGATGTTGAGATATGGTGGAAGACCATTTCACACACGCATGATTTGGATACTATGACATATGATACTTTTAAGAAATTGTACTATGAGAAGTACTTTCCGGCGCCTAAGCGGAGGGAACTAAAGAAGGAGTTTGATGGGTTGAAGCAAGGAAATATGACAGTTGCTGTAATACCCCGTATTTTATTTCAGAGTTTAGTTTATTTAAAAAAATTCATTTATGTGAGGATTTCTTTACCTATTATTGTGCATACTACATTGTTATATTAAGTTCATTTAATGGTGCATGTAAATTAATTGTGTATATTAAAATAGTAAATTTATTCATTTAATTGTGCATGTATTATTATAATTAATTTTATTTGTTGATTATGTTTAATTAAGCAATATTAGTTAATTAAAGCATTATATTTATGTTATAAAGTATGATGATGATATAATGTGTTCTTATGTAATAGTAATAATAATAATAATAATAATAATAATTATAAAAGTTTATTAATAATAATATTAGTAATAATAATAATAATAGTTATAATAATAATAATAGTATTAAACCAATGTCATGATGAAATTAGAGATTAGGATAGGATTGCATCAATGTTTATAGGTGGAATTGAAGCCTTATGGTTGGGAAGATGGTTAGTAGATGAAAAAAATTAGATATTTGTAATATTTATATTATATATTTTGTATATAAATTAGCTAGCTTACCTTAGAAGAAAAGAAA